TGGCAAGTGTTTCCAGATCAGCGAAATCACGTACGCGGAAGTAGGCTTTAAATCTAGGGTGACACTGGCGGATCGCCCTAGCTACCTTCTCCGCGTCTGACGCTGTAGGTGTGGCTCTGGAATAGAGCTCCTGGAGAGCGCGGACGTATTCTACGAGGCTCTCGTCCGGATGTTGAGTACGGCTGGCTAGCTCATCTCTGATCCGCATCTCATAGTCGGGAGACAGAAACGCCTCCTTGAATCGTGCCCGGAAGTCTGCCATCGAAGGGAACGGCCTCTGCATTCGTCTCCAAAGCGCTGCGTCGCCCGTCAACGCTATTGGGACGATCTGTATTAGGGCCGTTTTATCCGACGCGCCCAACGCGGCAATGTACGCTTCTAGATCCTGCAGAAAATCGTGTACCGATGTTCCGTCGGAGTAGCCCGAATAAGTCGGCGTCGGCACGCTCAACCCCAGGCGCGGCACGGGTGTAGGTGCGGGATTCACCACCCCTTGGGCCGAACCCATCTGTCTAGAAAACATCGCGAACATCACCATCATGGCGTGCATTAGTTCGCTGACGTCTCCCGTGTTCACCGCTGGAAATGGGGGCTCCAGCACTGCCGCAACGCTCGCTTGCCCACTTGTGCCTTCTCCCGCCTCCGAGTCAATATCAGACACTGACCGGGAAGGGCGGCCTTATTCTAAGACCTGGACATGGCGGCAGAACGTTAAACACTGGTGCTTAGCGGGGTACGAAAAATTCTAAGGAAAAAAAAAGGAAACCTAAATCTAGAAATTGCGATTCGTGGGACTCCCTGGGAGCGAACAGAAACAACGGCAGACTGATTGGGTCGAGGTTGGAAGCACCAGTTAAATGGGTCGTCTGTCTGTATCGCCCGATCAGACGGAGTTCATTTCGCTCCGAGGAAGTCACACGGGAAACACTACAATTAGGATAGGTTTATTTGATACTCAAGTATGAGTCCGATGAGGAGGGGGCCACGGCCGTTGGAGGGGTTGCTGGGCACCGGCTCTTCCGTTGTCCTGCAGCCTTCGAATAGACTACTTCCATAAAGCCCTGCATGCAACACGGCGCGCGTTGCACTCTGGGAACTAGTTGGCCAGGGAGGAGGGTGGCATGGTTTCGGTTTCGATCGACACGTCGACAAGAGATGGTTTTCTGGTCCCGAGAGCGTCATTTGTGGTCTCTAAACTAACCTAAATGGCCAGGCCTCGAAGCTTTAGCACAAGCCTGAGACGTATAGCTTGTCTTAACACATGCTTGTTGTATTTTTGTACTTGAACCTTCCTGTTACCGTTCCAATCGAGGTATGTGGACGAGCCAGTGCTGGGAATCTCGACGCTGTGAAGCTCGGGGATCTTGCTTGTATGCGAATCAACAAGCTGTAGCAACCAGTAAGAATGCATACATCGAGCTCGCGCCTTTACATTAGTGTTGTTGATCAGGAAGTTTGTTTGTTTCGTGCGTCCATAGACGAAATATTACTTTTTGTAATTACTGTATTTCTTAATATGCCTGAGTATGCGAGGTAAAACTCGGAGGCGCCATTGAAAAGCTCAATTTGATACACTTCTTATCTCTTATCTGTACTGACCCGTAGCACTGCACGAAGTGAAGTCGCCACCCGCTTGCATTCCATTAATATTGAACATCGCGTATGCACATAAAGTTATCCTGCAATCATATAGGCAAATTCGCACATACAGACCGTTTTGAAAAAGCAAAAGTCGAGCACTTGTGTGAAGAATGTCGCACCGTTCCCCGGAAGTGCGCCGGACGGGCATGAACCCCCATGCGCACCGCATAGGGGTTCATGCCCGTCCGTCGCACGGTGCGACATTCTTCACACAAGTGCTCGAACGAATTCAAAGCGCGTTTGACGGTTGCTAATAGCCATAATATTTGTTTTGTGTTTGTTTTTTTTCCTGCCTGAGTATGCCAAGATAATTTCAGACACACCGTTCAGGCGCAGATCTTGGGCGTCAGTAAAAGCTCGTCCAAAAAGGCTTAGCGAGGAGTAGGGGACGCTTGTTAGGGCCTCCGTCGTAGCTAGCCGATCTCAGCGTTTGCGAGAAATTAATCTTCTACCAGCATAATATTCGAGTGGGAGATATATGATGACACGAGGAAGACATCATAATAATTTCTGTGCAGTAGTGAGGTCGAATTTATTGCGTTTCCTTAAAAGTTCATGCGTAAACGCTGGGCTCAACTTTGATACCCTGTGAGGATGCGGCTTTCTTTTCGCCCAATGAAGTAACAAGAAACGGACGTTTGGCAAACAAAATGCGTATAAGGCTCCCGATGAACAAATTTCTGTTCTAGTTCAGTGGTACTAGACGGGATTATTGAAATTGAGCTCGAACATGCACTCGTAGGGTGAGGTGACTAAGCCACGTCTTACTACGTTCGGATACGCACACACAATATCCGGTGTTTCGGAACCAAGGAAAGTGCCCCGGTCTTCGTTTTGTATCGCTCGAGAATGAGTCTGTTGTACGTTCGTGAAAAGTTAGATAATCGAAAACGCAAGCAGCGCATTCGGTCGCGGAGTGATAGCATGAGGTGAAGCTGCTCAGTCGAAACCGAAACTGAGTGGCCAACTAGTTCCCAGAGTGCACTGCGCGGTATTTCGCCGCGATGGGGCGCGTCGGTTTTGGAAGTAGTCCATTGCTCGTGTCCTCCCTGCCACGAGCCCCGACCATCTTTTTCCTTCTCTTCTTCCCCGCTAGAGGCGCCGTCCCTCCACGTGCCGCGCGGCTCATTGTCCCCGACAAGATCAATATTTAAAATGGTGTGTACGATGAATTTCTTAAAATAAGAAACCCAGATGACCTGAAAATATTCAAATCATATCGCAACCAGCTGACAAAGAAAATCCGAAATGAAAGAACGCGGTACTTCTCCGATTTCTTTCAAGCGTCGTTTGGGTGCACCGATTGTGTACGGAAAATACTAAATCCTGTAACCGCCCGCTCAGAGCCGCGTTTTCCCCAAATCAATCATATATTTCCCAACAGTACGCGGTTAGCCGAATTTTCGTTAGCTAATGCTTTGAAGGAGTATTTTGTGAACCTGACACATATCAATTCCAAGCTAGATGCTAATCAATGTCTCCAAGATAGAAATGACAATCCTATATTTTTTCATCCCGTTGATGACGCCGAGATAATTTCTGTTATTTCCCCGTTAAAAAAGAAAAAAAAAAAGATAGCACCAGCTGGTACTCGGACGATATTCAAATTAAACCAGTCAAGTTTGTTTGAGATACTAAAGCCTGACTCACATTTGTAACCTAAGTGGTGGAATATTCCCCAAGAAAATGCAAATTGCTAAGCTACTTGTACTCTTTAAAAAAAAAGATAAGAACGCGATGAGCAAATATAGAGACCTATTTCAATTTTACCAGTTTCTTTTTAATGTGCATAAAATATATTGCACTTTTGCTTAGTAAGTTTTTCTGATAAACACGGTATATTGAGCACCTCTCAGTATGAATTCTGTTAGAATAAGTCAACTAAAAGAGCTCTACTTAAAGAGAACGAACTTATACTGCGGAAATTGGGGGAGAGGCACCTTTCTTTTTCAAAAACTAGACTATTACGGCATTAGAGGAACCAAGACTTTTAGATTTGGAACATCGAAAGCGTTATTATCGCGCGAGTTTCTTCTGAAATTAAGCCTATTACATCCGGGGTTTCGCAGGGTAGCATACTCAGTCCTTTTCAGCATTTACGTGAACGACATTATCAAGATAAAATTTGTGTCAAAAATTGCAATTTACGCGGATGACAATTGTATTTTCTTCCCAGGTACAAATGATAATGCTTTGGTATACAGTTCGAACTTGGCTTTAACGCAACGTGATACTTAGGCACAGTGCAGTTGCTTGAAGATAAGTCTGTAGTAAGGTACAGCTCAAGAAGGCAGGGCGAGGGAAAGGGAGGCTGGAGGGGAAGAAGCAGATGGAACGCTGGAGGGGAGAGGGGAAACATCCTTCTCTTTTCAGCGTTTTGTCTGTTTCCTCCTCCCCGGCCTTCCTTTTTCTCGCCCTACGTTCTTGAGTTGCAACGGACTATAGCAAAACTTAAGCCGTACTTTTTCGACCGACGTGCAAAACGGTGCTTTTAACCGAAGCCATTGTATTAATTTTATATCCAATAGAAATTATCAATTATTTTAACACTTTAGTCGTTATTTTTAGGACACATATGGTATGGTCATATGCATCGTGTTCCCACAACCACTGTAGAAGTATCAATTTAAAACTCATTTTATTCTCCCTTAACCTATTGCCATCTGGTTTGGCGCACTACTACTTTCACAAATTAAAAAAAAAATCTATTACAGTAAAAACATGTTAAGAATCATTTCAAGTGTTCCATAATATACTCATACCGAACAACTATTCGAACGTTTTCAAGTTCTTGATACTAAAAAAAAAACTATACAATTACAAGCTTGGTCGTAGTTTTCTTAGATCTAAAAATACCAAGGGTATTAAATGCTAAAGTTGACACTTCCTAAGCTTTTGAATGATCTAGATGAGAGAAAAAATATAGAAACAATTAGATTTTTTTTTATCTTTGTCGTATGTTGTCTTGTTTCTAGGACGATAGTGTGTGTATATGCTGTTGGATATTTTTTGCTGAGTGTTTATAATTGGACTGCATATTTCTCTTTTTGCCTTTTTGTACTTTTTTTAAATGCTTCTTTGTGTTTGATGAAGGGGCCTAGGGCTCATCAAGCTGTCTATAAACAGTTTTTTTCCTCGGCCTCCCTCATAGATAATGTATCGCTGCGATGGAAAAAAAATGAAATGAAATTATTACTAATAAAAAGATGAGAACCAGTAAAATAAGACACGCATACCAAGAGAGCCTTGGAACTGAAGTTTAATTTTTCATTCACAATGGCCAAACCAGCTTTTGAAGTTTAGTTGCTTGCGAATTCCTATAGTCCTTATTGACGTTGTCCTCTTTGCTTTAAACGCAGCTACGCCAGACGAAAAGAAACCTAACTCGCAGTCTACAGATGCCGGTAAGTATTAGAAAAGTGGGATATCAAAAGAAGAGTCACCGAAGAGTCACCTCGCTTCGCAGGTCCTGCGCCTGAAGGCAGCCATGAGAAGGCTACAAAACGTGAGTTACTGTGATGAGTATTTACGCAATAAACAATTATACACACTCAAGAGTTTAATACCAAAGTCAGACTGATTAATTTAGTGACCTTCAACCAAGTGCACTTCGGCTTTAGTGTCATTTCTGTGGTGTGCCACGCGGTTTCTTCCTAAAGAACACACCTGGCTTCAAGTAAGTTTGACGAACTCACTTCACTCGATCGAGTGCATGGACTCGACAGCAGCTCTTTTAAACAATAAAACGTAACAACACAGAAACCAAAACCGTAGCATTATTTTTGTTCTCAAAGGAATTCGAAAATTTTGAGAGAAAGAACAGAAATGAGTGTCATTGCAAACAAATAGTGGGGTGGGCTTAACCTTACAGTTTAGGCTGATGTGTATCAAGATTAGCGCGGCTGTGAATCGATAAAATACGATGAGAAAGTCAGTTATTCCAGTGCTATCCTGGTCAGCAGAGAAGGATAGAGCCTACATTTGTTTCAGCATGTCGCTACAGGAGGCAACACGGTAATCACGACTAGTGCCAGGGCCTCCTTGTAGACCTCAGTGGGACAAGGCGGAACGCCAAGATTGGATCCATTTTTTTTTTCATCTTGGCTCTTGATAATTGATCAGAATTATCCAAGTGGTGTAAAGATTGTTCATTACTGTAACTTTGTCTTGTTTCATGTTTTTAGTAAATACGCAAAATACAACCGTGACATTTATGCCTTTACTTTGACATTTTCCGTGCCTAATAGTACTTTACCCATCGTTACAGCTATCATTTGCGAATGAAACTAATTTTTCAGGCGTGGCACTGAAGCCCTTAAAGTGACATTCGGTTAGCTGGTGCACTCGGTTAAAGTGCGCTAAATTAGCCCGTTTGACAAGGGTATGCATTCGCTCATCCCATGGGTAGCGCCATTAAGAGTGTGACTGTAACACCCTTAGAGTGCTCGTGAGTACCTTAAAATATAATGTTGGCAATTTTAAGAGCCCCCTACTGACATTTTATTGAGCAGCAAGTTTACAAACAACAAACACTACACACAGTCCTGAGTTACTCACAAAAGACAAATACCGACGCAATGAATGACGCTCGAAAGGGAAAATATGACTTTCTTGATAGCTCCACCGTCTTGTATCCTCGACAACTGGGACAGGCTTTCGAGTACGACCGTCTCCAAAATACCGAAGGTTGCAAGTATGTTGCTTTCTTCTCGTGAATAATTAACGTAGAACATACTCTTTCGAAGTCCATGAAATAAATATCCCAGCGGGAAACATAACCGTAGTCAAAAATTATTTGACGTAGTTGCTAGTGCAACCTCCGCTTCAGTTGCTTGAAGCTGGCGGTAGTTTGGCAAACAGCCTTGAAAAAGTATGTTCGCCTCACTTCACCTTGGCATGCTTTCGCATACCTTCAAAACATAAGTGCATTTCGTGAAACATAAAAAAAGGCATACTTTTTGAGATAGAGGCGCTGAAGTGGTGTAGCTATAGGTTCAAGTCTCTGAAACGCCTTTTTACACCCTTTAGCGTGAAACAATCCTCAGTGCGTGGGGACGTACATGACGCAGTCGCCTTGCAGAACCTGCGACGGGACGCCTGCAGCTCCAACCCCTGTGGACACGGCGGAACTTGCGTGAGCCGCTACAACGGCTACCTCTGCCTTTGCCCGGCAGGATGGCAGGTGAGATACAGGCCCGCATGACTGGTATTCAAGGTAAGGATGTCGTGAATCTCCCAAAGATCCACAAAAAGTAGGCTGAGGATCAACTGTTGTGAGCCTACGCGAAAATGGTTGATCGAGCTGACGCCAGCAGGTGGGGGAAGAAAAATACCTAAGTTAAAAAAAATATTTTTTTTGTTGTTTATATTGTGTTACCACTTTCTAACAAAAAATTAACTGCCGCATGAAATATGTTTTCCAAACTGCCTTGAAGTAGGGCAATATTGTGCAATAGTCGAGCCTTGTCGAGCAACACTGTTTAACGGTTGAACCTTATCATAGGGTTCAACTTTAGAACAACTTTGCTCGAGTTTTAGGAAAATAGTCAACTTTTGACAAAAAGGAAAGCTTCGGCAACCATTTTTGACATTCCAAATCCTAAACCAAGTGCTGGTCTTGCAGGGCGGTCGCTGCGAAGAGGACGTGGACGAATGTGCTCACTTGGCCGGCAGCGACCTAGGTTGCCAGAACGGCGCTACCTGCGTCAACACTCCTGGGGCGTACAGGTGAGGGGCCCATGAAATGGGGTCGAAAATAACTAAAGCCCTAGTTCGGGCATCGGAATAGTGCTGCAAAGTTATGCTAAAACGCTGGACTTGGCTACGTCGCTTTGCGGGGGATTCATTTTTGAATGTTGGTACTACGAAAAAAAAATTGAAGGATGCGTATGATATATATTGGGTGTTCACAATGTTTACTACGCAGTAAAACCTGCCCGAACGATTGACTCCTGCACATAGAAAGCTCAAATTTTCTTTAACTCTGTATGTAAAATTTACTTCCTAAATGGTGAATCGGCAAATTTCCAAGCTTTCTCATGCGGGTGCCGATTTTATATGTTCCTTTTACAGCTTAGGGAACACCATGGCCACCGTTTATATTTTGGTTTCACTCCAAGACTACCACGTTTACTCTCTTTCTGTCTATAGATATTTTTTTATATTTTTATTTGTGATGTTGATTTTTTTCATCTCTACAAATTTGCTCTCCAGGCAATTGGCTTGTACAACCAAACTGTAATCTTCCATGAAATTAGTAGGTTCTCTTTGCGACGCTTTCATTAGAAGATTAAGAAAAAACTAGTTCGTCCAATTCTACTTCAACAAACAAGCATCAGGCTTAGACGAATTAATTAAGGAAGTTCACTGAGCAACGCATGATCCACGTTAGCAAAACTGAATGGATAAAATATATTTTTTTATAAATCAGTTATTAGTAACGTTTGATCAGGACTACCAACATTCTTATCCACAGCGTCTAATGACGACGACCAACTTCCCACTATTTAACGGTCGATTTTAATCAAATAAACCGCTCCAGAAAGAGCCTGTACAGAAGCAAATATGCGTTTACAAAAAAGGTCCTTATGATTACTACGATACGCACTAAAACGCAACTCATACTAACGAAGATTTGGGGGTTCGGTGGCCGAGCGGGCTAGCACACACCAGCTCGGAGTACATGGAGCGAAAGCTCGCGCTGCAGAACCCAAGGATCCTAGTTTAAATCCCCACCCCTGCCCGTTTCGATCTGGATGAGCATCGTAGCGGCGTGCAGTCATGTATCAATACTGCGTGGTGCACGTTAAAGAGCCCAGGCTAGCGGTTGTACCACACTGATTAAATTGCTCATCTACTGCTGAGAGACAAGTCGCCCGTTGCGAAAAAATAAGTTCAAGCTGTATTAACATACACACGCAAGTTTGATTTATTTATTACAAACCAAAATTCCCGGGAAAAGATATGCAATAAAGAATAGTCGGTACCGAAGACATTACGGCTTTTAATTATGCGCATTAAGACACAGTGTTTTTTACTAATGAATTACGACCAAAGTTGAATGTTAATAATAGTACTTCATACAAAAATCACTAGCTCATTTTTTTTTTCTGAGAAACATTAGGCAAATGAAATCGAAAGTAACGAATGCAATTTGTTATTATTTTTCACGTTATATAGACACTTAAGCGCAGTACCCTTCCTTCGTAATGTTTGGTGATTCCGAGCATTTTAACGGGCGGTTTGATTATGGCATAAAACCCACGACGAGACATATATTGATATTATCTAGATATTCTGATCGTCTCTCTGTAGAATGACTCATAGTTTAAGATTTGCTTTGAGTGTTATGGGGAAAGGATAAAACTAAACCAAGTAATTTTGTCTGGAGCAAACGTATGCAGGCCAGCTGATTAGGATGCATCATAATCTAAACATTTGTGTCGTCCTGTCCATTATTTTATGTTTCCTTGTCTCAGGGTTTAGATTATTATGTCATTTTGTTTTCAGCACACTTCGTTTCGACTTAATTCTAGAGGTAGCCGACACTACGAGCTAATGGAATCAATTAAGCAGTGTTAAAAGGGCGAGTCTCTGGGCCTTTCCTGTTTCTAATTGGTTCAGCGATGAAAGAACATGTACACAACAATGACGGACACCGTGATGCATCACGATGTCCGTCAAGCAGCGTGGAAAGCGCACCATGGTGCGCTTTCGACGCTGCGTGGACCCATGAGCTCGTAGCGTCGGCTGCGTCTGGACTTGGGTGAAACGAAGTATTCTCTTTGTGAGGGAAGTATAGACCACGCCATGCAACTATCGCTTCCTGGGAGCTACTATCTTTGTCTTCGGCGCTGGGGATCGCGTCCCGAGCGTGTCCTGTCGCCCATTTCTGCTAAGTATCGTTCGCTGCGCACCCGTCTATATCCCGGTGACTGGCAACTATTTTCCTGATTTTGAAGCCTTCTTTTTCTCACCTTTTTTTTCTGGCGGTGGCACCTACCCAAATCTCTGTCATTGTAACCCCGGGAAAGCCACCCGTTTCGCGTTAACTACCCGATAACGAAGACTCCGTGTTGCAGGTGCCAATGCACCCAGGGCTTCTTCGGGGCCCACTGCACGGAACGCCAAGACGACTGCTCCCTGGCCAGCGCGAGTGCCCTCTGCGACCACGGCACCTGCATTGGACTGCCTCGCGTCGCGGGACAGGTACGCGCAGTCACAGCTGCCTCAGCAATGGACCGTTGGAGCGCCCGGAAGGCGTGGCCACGGAAGAAGCAATGTGGCCTCCGCACACGGTCCTCGAGACGCGACGATTTAGTACTCAAATACAGCCGCTTCCTAATATCCCATCATATATGATCCACGGTCGTATAGGTATACAAGCGTCTATAAGCGTCTTTCAGCGTCTACCCACATGGCTTAACAAAATGTTTGAAAAAAAAAACAACAACCAATGATTGTTTTTAAATTAACGAAAGAACAGTGCAACGCGCGGCTACAGCGTTCTATTAAAAGACATGAATTCTGGGCGCATTCAAGGGTCAGGCTTGCGTGCGTGCGTGTGGAGTGGGAGGGGCGAGGAGATGTAACGACATGGGCAAATTTAATGTAACGGAGGGACGTGGCATCACGAACGAAGAAAATTGCGATTTCACCAGCAACGAGGCATTTCTTTCTAAAATCATCCCATGCATACCCTTTTCTATTTCTACGTAGAAGAAGCCGCCCGAGGGTAAGGGAGGGGGAGAGGTGTCTTCTATTTCACCGGACCCTAATATATTGACCTTGGAATTAATTCCTTTCACATTATTAGTTTTTGCTGCTTTATTTTAATACTTTCAATGAACGTGGGCGAGCGTCATGGCTCACAACCGAAAAGGGACCTAGACACATCTGATTGTGCTATCCAGGACCGCTGATATATAAGCCTAGCCCATGTAGAAACAAAGGCCAGCGCCTTTCGTCCTCACACACTATCACTAATGGATCCATATAACATCGACTAGCTCGCGTCCGCGTCACCGCACATGTGTCTCGTAGCGTTTTATCCCTTTGTTGCATACTTCAAAAACGTCCATGCAAATCATAACATTTTGCGTTTTTGCAACTATTGGTATTGAGTTGAGACCCGGGATTTTTTTTCGTAGCTTTGAGAAATGTAGTTTATTATTTACAGAGCGCCAACTACAGTGGACAGCATGCGCTGGGGGCACAACATCCCTTTCGTCCCATGACAATAACTTTGGCTTTTTTTTTTTTTATCTCGACGTTTTTTTCTTCGTGGTGGAGCCTGGGGTTCCGTGTCGCGATACTCGTCATCAATGTCATCACTTTGGCTGGCATCTTCCCAGCAATCATCACACCTGCCTTGATCATCCTCTATGGCATTATCGATGTCATCATCCGCTCCCTAAAGGATCCTCATCACTTCCTGACGGCAGTCCGTCTTCAAGTACGACACTGATTTTTGAGTCAGATATTGGAATATCCTATAAAGCATCGATGTCTGCTTCTCTCAAAGGTGATTTGGTACCAAATCATGTATCTCTAAAAAAAAAATAGTATTTTTTCTTGGAATATTGCCACGCTCGTCGGCGAGCGACCGCGTGCGTGGCCAAGTGGTTATCGCGCTTGACTGTCGCGCAGAAAGTATAGGTTCGATTCCAGTCAGTGGAATGCTCTTTTATTTATTCTTTCAACATTTCGTTCTCGTGAGTTCGAGAACATTCTCGTCTGATCGAGTTCCGAAAGTTCCAGTCGTCGAACATTCTACGCCGATTAGTCCAGAAGCTTACGCATGTACAGTCGGGGACAAAAGTCCCCAGGACGTGCGAGCTGCGGCTGAAACGCATTGCTCTGCCATCTGCCGGCGGGTCGCCTGGTTTCGAGACCACACAAAAGCGCATGCGCGTCCTACTCTGCCAGCAAACATGTCTGTTTTCCCCCTCTTCTGCGGCACAGCGCGTAACTCGGAATCGGGCGCGTGGTACCGCCTCAGAGATGGCGCTGGTGGCTGACGAGCGTCTGCTACAGATTACGAAACTGGAGATACCGCCTGCGGCATCGCGCCGCATTTCGCCGTGTCAGCGCACCTTGCTTTATAACCAGTTGAGCTTATCGCTCAGTTGAGCTGCCGTGACTTCTTGCTTTATAGGTGCCATGTCAGTAAGCGCTATCTCCGAGGCGGTACCACGCGCCCGATTCCGACTTAGGCGCCAAGCCGCAGAAGAGCGGGAAAGAGCACATGTTGGCAGGCACAGTAGGACGCGCATGCGCTTTTTTGTGACCTCGAAACCAGGCGACCCGCCGGCAGATGGCAGAGCAATGCGTTTCAGTCGCAGCTCGCACGTTCTGGAGACTTTTGTCCCCGACTGTACATAAGGCACTCTGCGTGGCGAACCGGTGTCAGATTCGCCTCAGCGTTCGACTCTGCTCTTTCGCCGACTTCGACGCCCGCGACGCTCTACTGTTATCTTTAGTTTCCTTCTTTATTTTGGGCACAATTTCGCCCGATTAAACGTTTAGTTTACTCAGTTATTTGCCGCCTCATCACTTTTCATTTGTGACAATATGTAAAATTATGGCACATTATTCATTACAACAGAAAATTGGACCATCGCAGTATATTTACAGCGCTGCTGACCAAATACAATTTGTGCATAGCTCATGGCCCCGCCATGCTGCTGTTCATGGTGTCCACCAGAGTGGACAAGCCACATATAGATTACTTACTGAACAATGTAGAATTATTGGACACCCATATTTATAAAGATTACACCTCAAGAGTTACTCGAAGGTATGAAAACTTTAACATAGGAGTACTAAGTTTTTGCAACAGTTTACGACACTTTTGCGAGGATGCTCGTGCTTTACCTGGAAATTGTGGAAGCTGCCATCTTGGATACTGAGTATGTCAACACCAGTGAAATTATGGCGCCATCTATGAGTGGCAATCGAAAACACATATGTCCACAAACTTTTATTCCTGCGGACCTCAAAGTTTGGTTTATGTGCAGTTGGGAAAATCGTTGTACCCCCTCTTCTCAAACGCGTTTTTGGTTTTACGAAAAAAAAAAAAAAAAAAAAAAAAAAACATTTGACAAAATTAAGTTACGTTACTTTGTGTGGACATGTTTTGCTACACCATATAAACGTTTTTTTAGAAAACAAAAATAAAATTGGCACAACCCCAGATCGTCGTCATCTGAACACACCCTACAGCGACACTCGCGTTTGTTAGTGCTTTTTGCCGGAGCATCTACGACAAAGCACCAGGATCGCGACGTCAGACCGAGTGACACTCTGGCTTGTTTGGTTTGTTTTGGGGACCACTTTTGATATGTATGGGGGCGATAAGAAGCTAACACATTCGTCGGAAACCCGTTCCAAACTCTTTACCTGCACTGAACTTGCTCGGGTTTCGTGCAAACTAGTATACCTTTGTTGTCCAATATCTGTGTCATGTGTGGCTCGGAAGCACTTAAAACGACAGCTTGAGGTGCATCTCAAAGCAAGGTACGCTTAGTTTCCAACAGACGCCTTTTTTTAAGCATGTCAAATAATCGTTGCTCTCCTGTAGTTCCCTGGAGGCAAGAATTGTTCGTTTTCTTTTTATCGGCATTTGGCATTGTAATTATTAGTAGGTGAGGAATCTAAGCTAAAATACGGTGGGTGAAAAAGCATAAAAATAGCAATGCAAACCATTTGCGTTCGCTGCGAAATAACCCTCTGCCCCTAGTGTTCGAAAAGTGTTTTCTTTGTGTGTGTCTGTATCTGTGTTCCTTAATGCTTTTTTTAGCGCTTTTGGAGACGTATGTCAAGAATATTCCAATATAGAGCACGTAAACAAACGCTTTTAATGCGCTGGGCGGCCCGGGAAAATCAGTTTCTTAACGTGTCAGGCTGCGATTTACTACAAGGGTTCAACCACGCGGAGGAAGCACGGTGTGAAAATAATAACAAATAAACTTTCCTTGGTAAAAAAAAAAAGAAAAAAAAAAGAAAAAACGGAACTGTTTGGGCTAGCTGCCGCGGCATTCGCAGACGACGCCAGGATCAAGATAGCGGAGTTAAATGTGGCAACGACAGATGACGGAAGCGTCGATTGCACTGGTTCCAAATTAAATGACGATCTTCGGACACTTTCACTATGCCGGAACGTCTTTCTAATTTTAAATTATAACTGCGCGACAATTTATTGATAAAAAGTAAACCCAGAAAGAAAACGGAGATTTAAATACCTCATGACTGCCTGTTTTCGGTAGTGACATGATCGGTCCACGTGCTGCATTACCCTCGCGTCTGTCGTTGAGCCATCTTTCGTTGAGCCATCTTTCACGTTGAGCCATCTTTCGTTGAGCCATCTTTCGTTGAGCCATCTTTCGTTGAGCCATCTTTCGTTGAGCCATCTTTCACGTTGAGCCATCTTTCGTTGAGCCATCTTTCGTTGAGCCATCTTTCGTTGAGCCATCTTTCGTTGAGCCATCTTTCACGTTGAGCCATCTTTCGTTGAGCCATCTTTCGTTGAGCCATCTTTCGTTGAGCCATCTTTCGTTGAGCCATCTTTCACGTTGAGCCATCTTTCGTTGAGCCATCTTTCGTTGAGCCATCTTTCGTTGAGCCATCTTTCACGTTGAGCCATCTTTCGTTGAGCCATCTTTCGTTGAGCCATCTTTCGTTGAGCCATCTTTTGTTGAGCCATCTTTCGTTGAGCCATCTTTCACGTTGAGTCATCTTTCGTTGAGCCATCTTTCGTTGAGCCATCTTTCGTTGAGCCATCTTTCGTTGAGCCATCTTTCGTTGAGCCATCTTTCGTTGAGCCATCTTTCACGTTGAGCCATCTTTCATTGAGCCATCTTTCGTTGAGCCATATTTCGTTGAGCCATCTTTCGTTGAGCCATCTTTCGTTGAGCCATCTTTCGTTGAGCCATCTTTCACGTTGAGCCATCTTTCGTTGAGCCATCTTTCGTTGAGCCATCTTTCGTTGAGCCATCTTTCGTTGAGCCATCTTTCGTTGAGCCATCTTTCGTTGAGCCATCTTTCACGTTGAGCCATCTTTCGTTGAGCCATCTTTCGTTGAGCCATCTTTCGTTAAGCCATCTTTCGTTGAGCCATCTTTCGTTGAGCCATCTTTCGTTGAGCCATCTTTCGTTGAGCCATCTTTCACGTTGAGCCATCTTTCGTTGAGCCATCTTTCGTTGAGCCATCTTTCGTTGAGCCATCTTTTGTTGAGCCATCTTTCGTTGAGCCATCTTTCGTTGAGCCATCTTTCACGTTGAGCCATCTTTCGTTGAGCCATCTTTCGTTGAGCCATCTTTCGTTGAGCCATCTTTCGTTGAGCCATCTTTCACGTTGAGCCATCTTTCGTTGAGCCATCTTTCGTTGAGCCATCTTTCGTTGAGCCATCTTTCGTTGAGCCATCTTTCGTTGAGCCATCTTTCGTTGAGCCATCTTTCGCGTCTCTCGTTGAGCCATCCTATGCGATCCCGTTCATGACGTCGTCTGCGAATGCCGCTGCAGATAGGCAGAAACAGGCTTTTCTTTTTTGTTCTTGAACGAGGGGGGTTCATTAGTTGACATTTTTACTCCGAGCTTCCACCACCTAGCCGTACCTCTGTAAGAAATAGCAGCGCGAAACGTTGCGAAACCGAATTTTGAGGACCAGCTAAAGTGGGTTAGACGTGTTAGTTTACATGCTGCAGTGTATAAATACAAATGCCTTTTCAGTATATGTATTTGTGCCTTAGTATACGTGTATCTTAGTGTTTGTATTCCGGAATACATTTTAGAGTATCTCTGACCAGCCCTGAGCCCACGTCTAACAAACGTTGCGGTGCGCATCCGACCAACCCCGGTTTAATTGGTACCATTACTGAACCTGTTTTATTTTGAAATGCTATTACTAACCATTTTTTTAATGATCCCCGGCCAGTTTGATTGTTTGTTTGTTATATTATTACTATCGCTAATTTGTTACTGTTTTCGTCCCATCTTTTTTTTACCTGCGCTTTCCCTTCATAATGCCTTCGGGCGCTGAGGGTATGTTCCGTAAATAAATAAATAAATACGGCAATTCAAAAGAGAACTGATCAGGGGCTATTTCGACAGTGTCTGCATGAAACAAAACGCTACGAACTCTCCAGGGACGCAGCATGCCGACTCTAATTTGAACTTGAGTCACGTCACATGGTGTTCTTTCAGCCTTAATTAATCGACGTCAATTTCTAACCCCGTTGCTTAATGGGACGGTAGAACGGGACGTGCCTTTCAGGGCCTTTTTTTGCAATGTGAGACATTTCGCAAACCGTGGTTTCGCAGCCTGGCTTCCGTTGCCTCTGCGACCAAGGCTGGACGACGGGTCCCGGTCAGCTGTCGTGTTCCCAAGACGTGAACGAGTGCGCATCTGGAAGGCACTTCTGCTCCAAGAATCCTCCCGTGGCATGCCTAAACTTCCCGGGAGGCTTCGGGTGCGGACCCTGCCCGCAAGGTACGCCTCCCCTCGTCGCCCATTCGTACTCCAAACCTTCAGCTATTGACAGAATGAAAATGGCGAGGAGAACCTTTAGGTGTCGTGCACGCTCTCCAAGTTCGCGAAACTTTTGATGCCGCAAATCCTTCGGAAATTTCCGAAATACCAGGGTGTCCTCGAAAATAATGTATAAGGTTTGGTACCTGTGCTTGATTGGGCAGCCGACGGACTCCACAATGAAGCACAGGAGTCCGTTTGTCGCGTGCACGGAAGGGGTGGTGTATCAGATTCCACTTTCATGTGGCAAGATATGTGTCGGTCCGACAGGCAGATGTTTAAATGTACGGCTAACAGAACACTACCAGAAAGTGAACAGGGTTCGGGATAGCCACCTGTCGTGTCACTGTCATGACTGCGGGTGCTAACCATTATTTGCTTCTTCCGCTGTTCTCACTAGGCATAAAGATAGGACTGTTAGAGAGATAACTGAGGCGGACGCCATCAATAGTTCCAGCACGCGTTGTGTCAGTGTGGCTTCAACTGACTGGGCGGAAAAAAAAGTTACTCTACTTTGGGGTTCGTGGCGGGGTCACGGATCGGTTGAGACGTGGTGCGGTGACGCAGTGTGTATCTACGCTGAGGCCCTTGAATTCAATCAGTTGAAAGTTAGCGCTCTGTTGTGTCTGTTCTTCCAATGTCCTTATCTTAAAGCGCAATCAAATTTTCTCACGCACCATACCAACTCGCCCAACAACCAGCCCCTATAACAAATGTTATAAATAAAGCTATAACTAATGTTATAACTTTTATTAGCTGCGCCTCGCTTCGGTAACGCAGGTGCATTCCGTTATCTCTACCCATGTTTTGATATGAGAACTAGCGGTGCCAGTGTACGGATTGATACTTCTATATGAAAATACGTTAACTATGACCAAAAAAAAAAAACAGGTTGAAGTTTTTGATAATATCGCCATTTGGATAACTCCCCGCAGGAATAATTTTGTTAATGCAGTCGTTGTAATGCACCGTTTGTGTTCCTTAGTGTCGGCTGAAAGTGGTACTTGTCACAATTTCTTAGCTGCCCCAACTAACTATATTTGCGGAATCACCGGCCTTCACCTTTTTCGGTATGGTGTTTAGTATCGCGCAATTCAGGATAGTTATTGTGAAATTGGCAGGTGAAAATGATATGAAAACCAATATTCAAATATACCCGCGCCTTTCAGTACCGTGAAATGAATGGTCGGCTGGCTTATTATAGTCCGTCACGCACTCGAGTTAACTAGAACTAGAACTAGCAGGTAAACAGGTTAAAGCGAGAGAAAGTAAGGCTGGGGAGGAGGAAGCAGGTGGCAAGCCGGAGTGAGGGTGATGTCTTCTACTCTCCAGCAATCCATCTGCTTCCTCTTCCCGAGCCTCCCTTTCCCTCTCCCCGAACTCCTAACCTGCCACCGACCATAGTCGATTGGGCAGTCTAAAAATTGACTATGCCGAACGTTTGTTTAACGCTGTTGCGCGGCTGCTGGAGCGAGCTTCGGGGTCGTTAATTTGACACCATGAAACTGGTTGTAATTAGTCTTAAACAACGTCTATATTCCAAAGACTTCCGCTCACGACGCTTTTTTATTGTTACCAGTAAAGTCTTTCACTTTGAGAAAACACGGTGAGAACCAAATTTTAAATTCAGTAACTTGTCGAAAACAAACTATTTTGGCCCACCATGTGGGTTATTATTTCAGCGATGTTTGTTGGTATATTTAGAAAATTCTCAGGCAAATCGGGAACTATGAAGACCACTCCAGTTAGTGCATTTTATTTGTAAGTGTTGCATAGTTTTAAAGTCGCATTCAATGAGGAAATTTATTAACGTAGAGAGCCCTAGATTGCACATATTCAACGATACAATACTTAGAATAAAAACCGCATGGCGGTTTAATTAAACTTGTATTGGCACGGGATTTCACGGGCATCATGAACACCAGTCAAAGACAACGAGAAAGATACTTTAAAAAATTGCAGGGTCATTTCATATTTTCTGATCTAGAACACAGGATAAATACGTCACAAAGGCGAACAACGGGAGAAGCAAAGAAAGATCACGCTTCAGAAATGGGCACGAGAATAAAATTCGAAGAAATCGTTTTCATTGGCATTGAGATGGGCGTTTCGGTGCATTTTAATAACTGATTAATTGGTGCGCAGGGACCGCTAGTGTAGTACTCGCCGGGTCATGCTATTACCCCGTCTAGAGAACCGCCAAGTCACAAAAGAGCAGGAATCGAAGATCCTCCGCAGTAACTGATGCTTCCCAAGGCGACAGCCAATCGTTCCTCGTTAGTCGGTTCGGCCAATACCCCCCCAGAAGACAAGGCCTGCTCATTACGTCATCGTTACTGGATCCCCGGCTGGCCCCAAATGGCAAAAACGCTGAGGCTCAGCTGGAGTCACAACAAAGTTTCAGACGCGTCAGTCTTGGCGTTGTCGCGTGCTACCCTCCCGCTGGTTGGGGAGGCATGCACGAGCTGGCGGCGATGCTGAGTCGAAACCTAGGTGTCGCTGCTTGGATCCACTGGTGATGACGTTTGGCGGGGAAATCTTCCGGCCTTGTCTTCTGGGTAGTGTTGGTTCAGCGCTCCAAAAGGCGGTCCTCCCTGCCAGCAACACCTTTTCGATAGCAAGGCCGTTATGCAGGATCTTCTACGTCGAGTACCGTAGGCCAGCGCGGTGCACACATTGGACACCACTGGTATACGTGAGCCTTTGGCTGTTGCTCATCTACTCACTGATTGAATGCGGGTCCTGCAGCCAAACGATGACGCAGAATCCGTGCCCCGCGCTGGTTTCCGCCGGTGACGTACAAAATCCTGCACGACTGCCTCGCTCTATTGGAGGCATAGAGTTATTATAATGTACGCTAGAGGTTCAACTGGCGCTAGTGTCTATGCGACTTCCGTGACGCAAATTGAAGCAGACAGCAACCAGTCTACTTTTGCGGTGCTCCTGTGCATTCCTATGGGAAAACGCGCGTGCATTTTGTCTCTTCGCCGGAAAATAACACGGAACACTTTGGTTATTTGGGTCGTACCGAATAGCATGTACCTTTATTAACACTGTAAAAGTGTAATTGCTTTAGTTAGCGCATTTTTCTTCATCAGTGAACGATATTTAACTTCGCTACATTTCAGCCCCAAACGTATGTTCCGCAGCAGGTGTGCAAAAACAAGCGACGATTCAAAGCAAAATTACAATCGAAACGAACATAGGGTGTGTTGAAGGCTCGCCAGCATTCCTGTGACGCTTGTATATTTATAATATGCCAGTCAGTCACTATATGAAAATGATCCCGTCGTGCATGAGCGGATAAAAACCTTCAAAACGTAGAGAATAAAGTCCGTGGGCTATGAAAGGTGTCTCTTCGTATTCTTTTCTCTGCCGGGCAGCTTTTATCGCGTACTTGTTCTCAAAGCTATCGAGCGCGCGGGTGATGTTTGAACGTAGAACAAGCAGCTTCGCTCAGGGCAGAAAGAATAAAGCGCGCGGTACTTATTTAAAATCGGAATAGATTACGTGGCCTTCAATTTATTTTGATCGTACATGCACTGCGAGTTACTGATCCAGTGTTACTGTGTAGTTCTTGCCGCCGCTCTTGATTTTCCAGATGTCCTTCGTTCGTTTGGCATGTATAACGCCCATGCTGGAAATCGCCGACGCCGCGTTCGCGCTAACAGTGTCCGACAGTGCACATAAATACATGTACGAAGCCGGGTTAGCACCGTTTTTAATGCGACAAATTCGAAAGAAAAACGCCGTAACTGACCAATTATTTCATCGGCCTGACTGTGAAACGTTCGAAGCTACCTAGTACGTACAAATTATTTGGGATATTTTCTCTTATGATGGAGCGCAGGGAGAAAATGCACTCACTTTTTCCCATAGAAATGCATTACCGGAAGTCCATTTTCGACTGGTTGCTGTCTGCTTCAATTTGCGTCAGCACACTAGCGCCACTTGAACCTCTAGCGTACGTTATAATAACTCTATGATTGGAGGTGTCGGTGTCACTCGCTAAGGCGCCCAGTGCATATAGTCTGGAACATGTTTACCAGAGTGAAGTGATTTCGTTTTATCGAACATGATTAGGGGAAAGCTCAAGATGTCCGCTTGGGCAGCGAGGTTCGTATTCGGCATCATTTAATACAGTAACCTGAAAAAAAATATTTGGCACGTTTCTGAAATAACGAATGTCTCCCTGCCTCCTGCGCAAGGCAAAAAAAAAAAAAGAAAGAAAGAAAGAAAGAACGAGCTCGTTTTATTTTTGTTCCTATGCAATCACTCACCTAAAAAAACTTAGCTCCGCCCTAATTCAATGATCAAGACCAAGACAAAAGAAAACCTTTTTCCAAGTCACACAAATTTTATCTGCGCTAACAAGCCGTCGTGTCAAAATGTTTTTGTTTTGTAAATAATAATTTATAGTGAAACCTTTTCCTGTAGACAAAACTGGAAAGTGATTTTGAATCTGTCAATTTTTATTTACATTCTCGCAGCGAAATGTCGGTTGTGTCCAGTCTTGGGAAAGCTATGTTTAAAAAGTAATTGTTACAGTTACAGATAGTTTATGAAAAATATATTTAAGTTACAGTTACAGTTAGTTCAAAAAATAAAAGTAACGCGTTACAGCTACAGTTACTTTGTCATAGGAATATAGTTACTTTCAATATACTTTTTTTATTTAGTGATGACGGCATTGGTAACAGTACGCAATGACAACAATTTATATTTATCTTGGAACTCTCTGAAAACTCTTATTTCTCATTTTAAGACATTATTAAAGTCGAGCGACATTATTTAATCAAAGCGTATGTTGCTTGGATACAAAATGAATTAAATAATAAATTATTTTGTTCATGCGCGAACGCAGCCGCAACTGCTTTTTAAAGATCACTTAACTTTCTCCTTTTGATGCTGAACACATCCCACCTCTTGCTAAAGAGGCGCTCAAAGGGTGCGGTGGACGGCTGTGCAGTATTCGTACGCATGAAAACTTTCCTAATGGTGGGGAAGCCGTTGAGGCCGTAGAGCGTTGTCGAGGTTTCAGGCTTCCATCGTTCTGTAATCATGCCTAGCGGTAGTGTCCAGAAATGAAAGTCGAAACTCACCCCGAGGTGCTTGCGAAGGTTGGAGGAAGAGAACCTTCTGGCTCCGTATACGTTTTTGTAGTGTACGCAGCGCACAGTGAAGTTATCGCCACCATATTCGACGACGTCAAAGCGCAGTTCATAGCCGGGTCACGGTAACACCTGCCGTCCGTCACTCATGACAGCCTCTCGTTTGAGCTATAACGGTTAGTGACCATTCAACTGTTTTCTTTCTTTAAGAGTTGTTTTATTCTGCTTCCTCAGCTGACAGGAGAGGGAGATACCAATTAACCGACGGGCTACATTACAATATTAGGGAGGGGAGCAGAAGGCTAAACCATTTGGAATTGAATGAAGTGGGAAAGAACGTTAGCATCAAACGTGGTAAAGAAAGAAGCGAACAAAAACAACAAAAAACTCGACTCGAAATGCGTTTCGCCTTTCTTTTTAATTTCTTTTGTGCAACGCAGAACAAAAGACTCGACCGTGGATCACGGCTTCAGGACGCCTACATGTGAAAGGGCAATTCGGACAGTAGAAACATCGTCTGTGGGCCAGGTCAGACAGTGTCTACTGGCGGCGACTCGCTTTTGCAAAGAAAGCTTGTTACGACTGATGCGACACCGACGAAGAAGGCTCTCGTTCGGCGTTAAACAGTTCACCGTTAGGTGTCTAGGCAACGCGTTTCTCCGCAAGGTGGCTCTGTCGCTTGGCTGAAGAGGCGGGGGTGATCGATGACGCCGGAAAGGGTAAACACGGGGCGATAGAGTCACGCACGAGAAGGTTGACATAAACTAAATGCCAAATCCGCATATCTGCGCATTAAAAATAAAAAAAAAAACATAAAACTAGGAAGATGTCTGCCCTTTGCGCATTGCATTTTGCCCTTGGCATTTTGCCCTTGGCATTTTGCCCTTGGCATTTTGCTTTGACAAAAAAAAAAAGTGAGTTCTTGTTTTATTTTGTTCGGTCTAATTTGGGGCCCAACCTCCGAACATGGTCGAACCCGCGGTAGTGTTCACAAATTGGGTTAATTTGGAAAAAAAATATCTGCATCTTTGCCAATAATTTTAGTTCCTTTTTTAGACAAGTATTTAGGTTATCGTTACAGTTACCTAAAAATATATCGAGTCACACTTAAAAGTTTCCAAATTAAGTAACAAGCTACAATGTCGCGATAGTACCCAAGACTCACTGTGTCTGAAGGTCCCAGGAGATTTCCTTTGAAATGCTTCCTGCCAACTTCAAGTACTTGTGGTGTTTCGTTTGAATTATATATTTAGGTTTTTATGAACCTTCCAATGGCTGTTATTTTATTAGGTTTCTACATACGATATAACATTATGGATACGGAAACATATTAAGACTCTTTTTACGTAGTGCTTAAATATTTTTAAGTTGTATTGGAATATCAGTGAAAAGACTAAAACGCCTCGCAACCACGGCTTTAACCCATTCTTCGCATGCACGATCTCCCTCTTAAATAATGGTCTCGAAATGTGAGAGATGTCGCTAAAGGTGTGGTAGTTTTCTGCGGTGTGGGCCCCTTTGCGAGTCGAGGAAGGCGAAGCTGTAAGTGTATTAATGTATAGGCTGGAATCACTCATATGCATGCAGGAAATTTGATATCCGGTTAGGCTTTACCAGTATTCTTAGCGTTACCGAAAAAAGTAGGGAAATACTTTAACAAGATGTAAAGTTGGGCGAGTTGGTTGATGGTCATATTGAATGGATTAAAACAGCGCAAAAAAGACGAAGGACCAGTAAAAGGAAACACAGACACAGCGCTGTGTGTAAAGTGTAATACTTTACTCGTTATTTGCAAATAAAAAGAACAAAACGTGTTACCGACCGGCGTTACCTAAGAATAAAAAGACCGCGTTACGGTTACTCTTACCATTATAATGTAACGCACATCACTTCCTCGTTACATTTGTAATTGTGAAGAAACACGTTTTACTTTTTAACGTTAAAAGGTACATAAAAGCGCCATATTTTGAAGAACATTATGCCCATGCAGAAACTGAACATAGTTGCCAGTATACAGAAAAAAAGCAAAGAAAAACGCTAAAAATGCAAAGAAATATATAACTTTGCGCCTAAAAGCACGAAAGAAAGGTAAGTGTAATTTTTTAAGTCTTGTAAAGAATATATAACGAGCAACGCAATTACGTTACACGTTACTCGAAATAAGTATCGCAAGTACGTTACCCATCAGAGTTTTGAGAATACGACAAGTACATTATTACGTTAACGCAAAGCGTAACTGGTTACCGGTAACACCGTTAATGTAACGCGTTACCGCCAACAAAGGGGCATTACTAAATGCAGTAAACGTTAGACGACCTATCAAAGACTGTCAAAGACTGCCCGAGACCTTCCATCCCTCACGTAATCCGAGATAATTTGCAACCTTATGCAACGTGCGTGGCCCCAGTGAAAACAACCTTGGGCTAGTATGAACCGTGTCCGGAAGATGGCTCTATCTATTTGAGGTCCCCGCTCGCAGGCTACTCCGGAGACGGGTACAGCTGCAGCGACGTGGACGAATGCCTGGTGAACAACGGAGGCTGCTCCCAGAATCCCCGAGTGGACTGCTTCAACACGATTGGCTCACGCTCCTGCGGACCCTGCCCGCCTGGTGGGTTCCGGCGCCATCTGCCTCTGCACTCGCGTAGAGCGCGAACCACGTCATCCGAAGACGCCCTACGCTCTTCGCCCAGTCATATTCTACTCGCCCGGTAAAATATGTAGCCACTATTATTTTCAGCACGAGATTAGAGTAGGAGCCCCACATGTACGAAAGTTACCACTACGCAGTCCCGTTGCGTTCTTCGGCTGTTTTCGTCTCGGTTACGAATGTACCCAAAATGAAAATATTAAATCAGGGGCAATCTGCGGGCACATGTAACTACATGGTAGTCGACGCGACGTAGAATAAATGCATCCTGCGCAAGTATTTCGACGTCATCACTATGAGATTGAGTGCAGACACAGATTGGCCCCGAGTGCTCTACCAGCAGTGACGTCAGAGTTCGGTACGCCCCGCCTCGAGCTCGGGCCGATTGCTGCGTTTGCGCCATCCGAGTGGGATAACGTTACTTGGAGGTAGCGTAGGCTATTGTCGGAGTTCGTTTATTCTATAGCTGGTGGCCATGGAACGCGGTGTGATATTTTATGTACGTGGTACGCACACTTCCTACTCCAGGTGTATTTATCCACGTGTGCTTGGTGCACATTGTTAATGTCCTTTTTAGAATACCTGAGAATGCACCACGCACACGTATAAAGTACCACGTGCTAGGAACGTCGTACAACGGGCAGCTATGTGACTCTCGTCTGCCACGTTGCGGCACGCACTGCGTCCAATTTACCCATATTTGACCAAACATGATAAAGTTGCATCAATTTATTTATATGCTCGATTTTTCTTTTTATCTTCAAAATGGGAAATTTCTCTTTGCGCGCTATTTAGGCACAGAATCGTTTGCATTAAACGAAGGTCTCTGCTGCTTCCCCGACGTTTTTTGTTTTTTGCAATCTTACATTTATTTGTGAAGAATATTTAGATGTATACATTTAGATTTGCTTTATATTGATACATTTTGATATGGCGCTTGTTTCAGTTTTATTTAGGCAATTAGTGGTGATTTTATTTATGGTTCCAAGCTGTTCGGTAGTACTTAAGTGATTTTTGTAGAAATAGGTGTCTCGAGTTTTTTTTTTTTATAAAATCTAAGAAAACCTCATAGACACTGGTTGAGTCAACTTTATCGAAAACTTTAGTACCGCTTGTACTAATAAAGCTATCAGACAATCAATAAAGCAAAGCGCGTTTCTTAGAGCTGGCATGCAAACTTTACCGTGGCCCATAAAACTACAAAGTGCAAGATACTCACTCATGTCTATGGCTATCAATCCTGATCTTGCTATCGGGAACTCAAGGTTTTGCCGAAATCTGGAACGACCGCACTGCACTTGTCGCCATCCGGCAGCGCTGGCAGCACGACTACCAAAGCGACACTATTCCACAACAAAGCTCTTACTTCAATGATGTCCACCTGTTCGTCGTGAAGATGGAAAAACAAAATGTATTGTAAAAGTAAACATTTCATAGCACTAACAGAACGTGTTTTTTTTTTTTAGATGTTGACATGTCCATGGCCACGTAAGATGTATTTTCCTACCCCATTTATCATGACACCATTGTTCGCGTGCAATATTCTACTCTTACTTAGCACCTCGATATTTAATACTATGTTTGAGTTTGAGGTCTCATTTTAGTTTCGAAAAAACTTTATTCACAATAAGTTATTAAATTTTACAGCCCACTAACTGTAACTTGTTTTTAAGGTAAGTTGAAACAAAAAAAAAAAAATAGTTTGCATCGTCAGAATTGTTGTTTTGTAAAAATGCATACAAAATATTTTTTTTATAGATGGTACTTTTTATATAACATATTTAAAACATTTTACAGCTTCAGCTGAGAAGGATAACGCATTGCCTTTTATAAATAATACCATAAGAGATATTCAGTTCGCGTTCTATATTCATGCTGACGAGCGCTCTTATTAGTGAATGTATCCGAATGCTTCATGAGCTAGGACTTACCATCCTTCTTTTCGCAAGTTTCTTCGTAAAAGTAAGTGCGTTGTCTAGTCACTATCATTTTCTATCCGTTAAATTACATCAAAATGTGCGCGATGTTTTTATTAACTTCTTTTCGTTGTTTTTTATTCACTCCCAATCCTCTCGCAAATCCGCACAGTGGATTAAAAAACCCTCGGCCCAAACTCTTCACCCAAACAATGACGACTGAAACGGAGTTTCAACTTACGCCTCGACCGCGTACTCAAAAGTAGTCTCTAGATTTCCACTTGATGACGTCATAAAGTATGGTACTGTTGCGAGCCGCGATCCCGGCAGTAACACACTAGCGGAAGCGGATACGGAAGAGGCCTGTTCCAGTGCAGGTTCTTCTGCAGCTTGACCGTCCAAAAGGCTACACTCGTGTTCCCTCGAACGCTTTGCGGGAACTTCTACGATCAACCGCCAGGTTCGCGACATCCGACAGCATGACACCAAGGCTCCTGCGAAGTAATTTCTTTCCATTTTGGGACCATATTTTTTTGATACGTGGGTGGTTTTTAGGAGGGTGAGCACACCATTCAGAAACGCATTTTAAGCACCGAATGTATAGGGGCACAGCGCAGACAGTCACGGAGTTGGGCCTCTCGCAGGCTACGTTGGAGATGGTGTAACCTGCACCTACCTAGGACTGTGCAACGTGGACAACGGTGGATGCAGCCCCCTCGCCACCTGCATTGGTAAGATCAGGGTTGCATTGCATCTCGCGCCGACGTTGTTCTAAAAAGGTCGACCCTGGCGCCAAGATATTTGGGTCCCGCCAAACCATTCTTCACATTTCGACAGGGCCGCCGTTTTGTAAGGAATTCAGCTTGTAAACGAACGGTACTGGAGACAAACTAAGCTTCGAGCAGATAGTCGAAACGAATATAAAAAACCAGCGACTTCGACGCCTTATACTTTTGCCCATAGTTTAAAAACGGTCAACTTTATTTTGCAGAAAAACTGCGGGCAAGTATTTGGCAAAAATTACGATTTCAAACAGTATTATTTTTAAGATAGTTTCACTTGATTCTGGATGACTGTTCTTTTTTAACACAAAAAATGCGTTTATACACTAATAATTGATACGCTCTAACAGTAATTTAGAGACAACAAATTTTTAGCCTTTTCACTCTGTTTAAGAAGGAAGAGCAGCGGAGCTGTAAGGTTCTGTTCTCGGCTGTGGCTTTCCAGGCGAGCGATCTGCTCTTCTTTCGCAAAGGAATTCGAAGCGCTCGACGCAGTGGAACTTGAGGCGATAGCGGCCTCCCGGTGGCTGCGGAACCATTCGCGCTACTGCGCCATCGCCGCTCGTTTCGTTCCCGTTCTTCTTCCTCCTAAGAAATGTTGCCGCCATTTATGAGGGACGGCGGCAAGCAGACAACCGGCAAACACCACACTCTGGACAGCTACCGCCATCTATGAGCGACGGCGGCAACCAGAGTGTTGTGTCGACCACGGGTGTCGACATTTGTTTGGTACCGGACGCGATCAAGGGGAAAATACACTTTCAAGAAAAATGGGTGTAAAAGAGTTATCGTTACACCCTTTGTCCCATATAATACACCCCAAAGCTTCATTTCGACGTACTGAGCCCTATAGTCGAACAAACGACCCCAAATTTCACGAGGGGCTTGATAACGGTGCGATATAACTTTTTCAATAGCTAAAGTACGTATCAAAGACCACATAAAGAAAACACCGAGTTTTTGCAGTAGGGCCAAGAAAACCCCGATTATTTTTTTTTTGTAGTCAGTAAAACATACATTACCTATTTTAAAAAGTTGTACCACACGGCTATCAAGCCCCTCGTAAAATTTCAGGCCGTCTGTTCGACTATAGGGCTCAGTACGTCGAATTGAAGTTTTGGGGTGTATTATATGGGACAAATGGTGTAACGATAGACCCCTTTTCTCTTGAGAGTGTAGCCCTTAACAGCTCCGCTGTAAAAAAAAAAAAAAAAAAAAAAAAATCTAAATGATTGCGATGAAATGTGTGGAAGGCGAAAATTATTTTTAATTATACGAATATAACTAGAAGACATATTTGACGTTGATCATAAACACATTTCCGCTTATTTGTGTTTCTTTTCTTTTTTAGAAAGACCTATGTATTTTTGGTATTTGTTTAATGCTAGCGCTAGAACGGCTATTATTAATTAAACAAAAAAAAAACAAAAAAAAAAACAAGAGACAGTATATTTTCTTTAAGCGTGGCTGCATCGGACACGTGTAGAGTTCGAAAGATTCCCCTCAGCCATTGTCACATCATCCTTTTTTTTTTGTTCCCAACGCGCACTTCGTAAGTGCAAACGACGGATGACGACGAGTTCTATCACAGGTCAAAATCCAGAATCATTCTAAACTAATTCCTTGGAGCTTTCTTTTTTTAAATTCATCTTGCTGGTTTTTAAATTCGTATAGTTATGGAACTAAAAGTGTCTTCAGGCGGAATGTTCCCACTAGAAGTGATTTCCTTTCGCTCGCAAGTTTTAACCGACCACTACCGCGAGTGTAATTTTGAACAATCGTCCTGCTCCGACTGGAATAGAATGAGGACACTGTGGCCATTCTGGTGACTGACTGATGAAACTCTTTTACCAGTGTCGCCCGGGGAAAGTGATTCCACCGAGTTCACCAGAATTGGCACTGAGACTACGCCGACTGCAAAGCAATCTGCCCGTAGCTGCCCAGTATTGGACCGTGATGAAAAACTTGACAGCCCCCAAATAATGTAAAAATGTTGTTGCCGACACTTGCTTTATACTCGTCTTGGTTTGTCTGCTACTTGAGCAGCTTCAGTGACGTCAGAAGGTTCATCGAAAGGACGTATAAAATGGCCACTGTCACGCTCAATCGCGATCGTACGCTAAATCAAGAAAGGTGAGAAAAAACGGTGAGACAAATGAAAATGATATATATTTACAAGAAGAAGGAAAGAAACTTAAATTAAAAATTCAGATTAAAGATTAGAAAAAAACAAAAAAAAACAAAAAAAAACGAATTTAAACATTTTTTAATTTAAATATCAGGTAGACAGCCCCTGACACACGTCCTTTTGGAGTTAGAGTAGGTGATCGGCCAGCGGACTTCCTTTTGAACCATGGCTGTCGGCCAGGCTTATGCCATATGAACTGGCCCGGAAACGCCTTCGGGGACGAGACAGGAGCTTGCCGGGCGCTGGTGCGAGGCCAGACGTCGGTGTAGTGGCTTCGGGGCAGAACCGAAGACAAACTGTCTTGTCCAGCAAAAAGCCTCTTGCACGCACCCGCACCTCGCACTTCGCTGTATTCTTCTCTTTTTCATTGCCTTTTTTCAACCCGGACAGCGGCACTTACGCGAGTGATGTGCAGAATAAAAGCTACGTATTTATATCCTGTAGTTTCATTTAGTACCAACTTCGTTACTAGTTAATTACTGTTACACTTATTTCACGCGAAGAATACATTAGAGTGGCACATAAACTACAACATAGGAATGGGAATTGTAAATAAAAGCGCAATCGCTTTCCATTGCGGTGTGAGAAAAAATACCTTAATTATAGTTCCAAATCAAAGTACAACATGCAAAAAAAATCGGCAGCAGGGCGTCATAACAAAATTGAAACAAAAAGACATATAACAAAGTATGCTACAACGCACATCAGTCGAAGAAGTTGCATAAAAAATTAAACAAGGCATATTGCTACCCCGGTTGCAGAGCTACAAACAAAGCTTTGCAGTCGATAAAAGTTGCTAAAGAAAAAAAAAAAGATCAGTGTCTCAATGCAACAATATGACTAAGTAATTAATCCCAGTCGGTGTACTGCATGGAAGAATACGAGGGGGGACCCAACAGTAACCGGAAATAATTTCCGGAGGGCGGGCCGTTAGTAAAGTACCGGCTTCCACCGCTACCAGCGCTGAGCATTACCCCTCCCGAGTCAGTATGCCGACCGGCGTCGTCCCCTAAAGTTCTAGTGGCACGTTGTAATTTTTTTCTCCAAGCTCTTAAAAATCACTTCTCGTTTCTTTGCAAAGTGTAATTTGAAGGAAATTTCATTTCCATAGAACGTTTTCCTTTCAGTACTTTTTTTCACAGGGCCAACAAAAGAAACTCACACGGGGCGAGGTCCGCTAAATAGGGGCGTGCAGAAGCGGTGTCATGCTATTTTTGTTCAAAATTGTTGCACTGACAGGGCAGTGTGTGCTGGGGCATTGTCAAGAGAGAGCCCCCCTCCCCCCTTTCCCCTTTCCCACAAATCGGGGTGTTTCTGACTCACTGAGCTGCGCAAGTATCGCAAAAATACCAGGTAAAACACCTGATTAACACTTTCATCAGGAGGAACAAGCTCAGAGTGAACAATGCCCGAATTCTCTCGATGCTTTCATCAGTTGAGGAGGTTTAGGGTCGCCCTGAACGAGGATGGTCGCCTTGAAGCCACTGGTAGACCTGCGATTTCTTCATAGCATTTTCACTCTAAGCTGTCTGAAGCATTACACAAGTTTCCGCCACCGTTTTCTCTAGAAAAGAAAACAATTTTACGATCGCACGCTGTTTCTTTAAATCAGGCATTGCAAAAAGCGAGGAATGAAAGAAATCCCAACATGCCACTAGAACTTCAGCCGACGACGCAGGGCTGCGGATTGACTTAGAGGGGTGCCGCTGAAAGGTGGCGGAGGTTGTTACTACGAACAGCTCACCCTCCATGAATTCATTCCGTTTACTTTTGAGTCCCCCTTTTCGTATATCTTAATGTTTACGCGGGAGTTGCATTCAATACGGAGCGCGAGTTGTTCTGCTTGTTGCACAGGGGTTGTGTTTAAGTAAGAACGCGGAACTCTGATTGGCTCCGATTGGAAGGATAGTGGGTAGACTTGGAGGCCGCTAGCATTGAGGTCTAGCCACTGTCCTCCCATCAGCCAATCAGAGCTCGGGGTTCTGTCGTCAGCGCAACCCGTGCGCAAGGAGCAGACGAGCTTGCCTTCAGCATACCGGCTTTGAGTCTGTAATCGGGTGCTAGTTCATTGTAAAAAGAGAAATAGATACCTATTCTGCAGTATTTTTTGTTTTGCGGAAATGATTTCGAAAAACTCCTTCAGGCGAGCTAACATCTTTTATGAGAATTAAGTCATATCACTTTGAAGCGTTTAATTTGATGTGTAGTGTTTTTTTTTTTTTTTGCTAAGAAAAAACGTAGGAGCTTTTCTCTTAATCATATTTACTTTGTCCGTGCTCTTTCGTGAAAAAGGTTCTAAAACCTGCTCCTCACTTTGTTGTTGGCCATTTGAGGACGTCATCTCAAAACAGCCTAACTCAAAGGGGCTGCGCAAGTTGACGTTTATTTCGGCGCTTGGAGAACAATCCGAAAGACTTTCATTCGGTATGGACAACATTTTTACTTTCTTAAGCTCCCCTGTTTCCTCATTATTTATTTATTAATATATTTTTGTATGAACTGCAATCTTGTGTCAGCATTTATCTGGCTTCCGCATATCGACCAAGCTGTTGTATAAACTAAAGGATGGTTCGCGCAATTATGTGTTGAGTGTGATAGACTGCGTTACGACGGATCGTAATTGCTTACAACGAGATCACACATTCGCACACTGACGCTATTTATAGCGTGCCACTCTAAAAGAAAAGGGTGTAGCGTTACACCCTTTTGTCCAATACAATACGCCCCAAAACTTCAGCTCGACGTTCGGCTCATTGACGTCGAACAGACGGCCCCAATTTTTACCAGGGGCTTGGTAACGGTGCTAAATAACTAATCAAACAGCTAAAGCACGCATCAAAATTACAGGTTAAAATAAACACTAGGTTTTTCGATAGGGCCAAGGAAACCCCGATTATTTCTTTGTGGTCAGTAATACTCATATTATTTATTTAACTTGAACGAGCGGCAAAAATGCCGCTCGTTTAAGTTGGTGCCGTCGGTTTCACGTCAGCGCGCTATACGTCCAAGTGAAGTTTTGAGTGTCTTATGTGGGACAAAGCCATCGGCTTGTAACACTTCTGAGCAGCATAATAATGAACTTCAAGTTTTGTTAGTGCTTACGAGGTCGAACGTACGTGCGAACACGACATCAAACGAAGCGCATGGTGAAAGCATGATACGTGAAACATACGCTGATCAAGAGTGTTCCGGCTCGATACCTGATACATGACTTCTGAGACCCTTTGACTCGTAAAAGCCAAAGTAGGAGAGGAAGTTTAAGGAGCGCGCCGATCGAACTCGAGCGGCGTTGACGCCAGAAGTCGAATCAACGCACTCCGCGAACTTTCGGCTTAAGCTTTGTGTTTGACGAGTCTAGGGGCCCCATTGTGATCTCTCATCGTAGGCGTTTGCAAGCGGTTGCATCGCAGTTTACCCGGTTCAAACGCAAATGGACGCGTGCTCGCAGCCCGGTCCGGCAGTTTCCGCGAGTGTCGCTGCCCGGCGGGCTTCGTCGGCAGCGGCGTCGGACCCAACGGCTGCGTGGCGGCAGCCCCCCGGCCAGACGGCCAGCAGCCCGCGCAGCAGCCCTTCGCAGACCCGTGCAGCGGACAGCCCTGCCGGCACGGCTTCTGTCAGGTAGGGGCCATCAAAGCGCGCCCATTGCCGCGGACCTGAGGAGTGGCGGACCTATAGCATCAGCAAAAGACCAATACACACCTAGCAAACTTTTCGCGAAAATCTCAAAAAGATCGGGCGCGAAGCGCTAGATGAATCATGGTATAGCGTCATGTATGCTGCTCCTTCCCCCGTAACATCTACAACGTGACATTGAGGAAAAAAAAAAAAAAAAAAAAAAAAAAACTAGAGACAAGGTTTACGAGCCGCTAGCCTGTCCAACGCCTCCTAAATAACAAGGCCACAGTGGTGATCTTTCAGCGTCTTCTAAAAAGGCAAAGTTGGGGCAAGCATTGGACACGACTGCTGCGTCAGCGCTCGGTGGAGACTCGTGTCCAATCCCTATCCTGCGTTTGACTCTTTAGCTGAAGTAGAATGTGGGAATTTGCTAAATGTCACCAATCTTGCTTAAAGCTGTTTTTGTGGTAGGTGCCCCGGCGTGGTAAACTGTAACGTGACTGGGGAACTCTGGAAAACACTGACACATTAGAAGAACTGACACGTTAGACTCTAACTTTCTTCAAAAGTGAGAAAAAATATTTTCAATTAAATAGTCAGTTAGTGTGTTTTAATTAATAGAAGATGAACAGGGCAATTATTTCACTTTGTGCAAGAAGTCATTATTCGTGTTTCCAATTACTGCAGTGTTTATGAAACTTGCCCCTTTTTTCCCCTCTTTACTTTCGTGGTCACTCCTTCCCTCCCCCGCCCCCCCCCCCCCCCCCCTCGCCCAATCCCCTATACAGTGCTTCAGCGCTTGAGGTTATGTAGAGTAAATATTTAAATAAGCACGAATACGATAGAATTGTTAAACTCTTGCGAAATCATAAACATGAATTAAAATGAACTGTTGGACTAGTTGGTTAAACATCTTAATTACAAAAGCGCAAAGGACAAGGACAGGACACGGAATGAACAGGACAAGTGCTTACTAACAACTGTTTGTTTAATGCATGATAAGAGAAAGACCAAAATGAGAGGAGATTTAATAACTTAAGATGCCAATTGTATTCCCACTTAAAATTATTAAAAATTATTTGAGAAAAATTAGGACTGATAGAAAAATAAAAATAAAGAAAATCAGCCAGATTAAGAAACAAGGTTGAGGTACCCTATCTCTGTCTGAGAAAACACTCATGTCGAGCGTAGCTTGTGATCACAGTTCACGGTCCTATCGAGCGTAGTACGGCTTGAGGGGCACGACGTGGACGACTTCAGGTCATGGTGGGTGGCGTGATGATGTTCTTGTAACCGTCAGGCATCACCTCGTAGCTCGGAAGTCCGAGTCGACGAATTGCCTCGTAGGGGCTGAAGTAGAGTTTCAGCATTTTCTGTCTGAGGCCGTGGCGACGAATGGCTGTCCACACCCACACCTTGTCTCCGGGCTGGAAGTGAAAGTCCCGAAGACGAAGGTTGTAGCGGCCAGCGTCGACACGTTGCTTCTCTTGAATTCGGAGTCGAGCGCGCGGGCGGACTTCTTCGGCCCGTTGAGCAACCACCTGCAGCGTCGTCGCTCCCATCATCAGCTGGCTCGTGGGGCAGCATCGCTTCGAGCACGGTCGTTACCTTCCGAACATGTACCAGCTAAAAAGATGTAACTCTTGTGGTTTCTTGAACCGCGGTGTTGTGGGCGAACGTGACGTAGGGCAATAACTCGTTCAACGTCTTGTACTCTATGTCCACGTACATAAAGATCATGTCGGCGATTGTTTGCTTAGGGGTTCTGTTAGTCCATTTGTCTGCAGATGGTACGCACGTAGTGGCTCGACGGTGGCTGGTGCTACTGAGACAAAGGATTTCTTGCGTCACTTGGGCCATGAACGATGATCCACGGTCAGTTATGAGGACTTCGGGGGCACTGTGCCGGAGGACGATGGACTGGATGTAGATTTTGTCGACTTCAACAGCCGCACCTGACGAAAGGGCTTTCGTCTGGGCGTGCCGTGTAAGGTAATCGGTCGCGGCGATTATCCATTGGTTTCCTGCGTCGATGGTGGGAACGTCCTAGTAAATCTATTACGATTTGCTGGAAGGGGGCAGATGGTGGTGCAATAGGCTGAAGATGTCCTGGCGGTTTCGTCAGTGGTCTCTTCCGTCGTTGACACTCGTGGCAGGGTCGGATGTAATGATAGGCTGACTTCGCAAGCTTGGGGCCAGTAGAAATTCTCGCGTATCCTGGCAGGCGTCCTGCCTCATCCAAGATGTCCCGCCGTCGGGTCATCGTGGCATACTTGAAATATCTCTTTTCAAAGACTGGAAGGGATCACCAACAACCACACCGTGTTGTTATGGCTAAAATTTTCCTTGTAGAGCACACCTTGTCGGGTGGAGAAGGTTGGCAGTGTTTGTCTAAAAACGGGGGGACCGCACTTCTTGTCCCTCTAGGTGCTCGATGAGTCCTCACAGTTCAGGATCATCTCTCTAAAGTGCCGCCATGTCACTGAGGTTACTCCGCCGAGGAAAGACTCGTCGTCGCGTCTTTAGTGCAGACAGGACCGGCCTCGACTGGGGCACTTGACAGACAATCGGCTTGACTGTGTTTTCGGCCCCACTTGTGCATCACGGTCATGTCAGACTCCTGCAGTCGGAGACTCCACCGGGCGAAGCGTCCTGAGGGGTCCTTCAGATTCGCAAGCAAGCAGAGCAAGTGGTAGTTCGTAACTAATTGGAACGGTGTTCTGTACAAGTACAGGCGAAACTTTGTGATGGCCCAGACGACGGCGAGGCATTCTCTCTCTGCCGTAGAGTAATTACCTTCCGCCTTGGAGGGTGTCAGGCATGCATAGGCGACTAGCCACTCTCTTCCCTACTTTATTTGATAAACATCGCGCCAAGCCCCGTGTTACTTGCGTCCGTATGAACTTCTGTTTCTGCATGCTGGTCGAAATGGCCAAGGACGGGAGGTGTTTGAAGTCTTTGTTTCAACTCATCGAACGCCCGCTGGTACTCTTTTGTCTACTGAAACTTTACGGCGTCTTTTGTAAGGTATGTCAGTGAATCAGAAAGCTTCGGAAAATCTCTAACGAGGCGGATGTAGTAGGCTCAGAGGCCCTGGTATCCCCTTGCGGCGTTTTTGTCCGACGGCGGGAAAAAGTCAGCTACGGCGCGCGTCTTCTTGGATTCGGGACGTACATCCTCGCTGCTTACGACGTGACCTAGGAACTTGAGCTCACCATGAGCTAACCGACATTTCGTTGACTTGAGAGCAAGTCCAGCGGCCTTGATGGCTTGAGGTATGGCACGGAGTCGTCGTAAGTGCTCCTCGAAGTTGCTAGCGAACACCACAACGTCGTCGAGGTAGACGAGAAAGATATGCCGTTTTAAGCCTGCTAGCACGGTGTATATGACACGCTGGAAGGTCACTGGCGCTGTGCATACAAAGGGCATCACTTTCAATTTGTACACTCACGCGGACGTGACGAAAGCAGTTGTCTCCCGATCCCGTTTATCAATCTCGATCTGACAGTAGCCACTCTTCAAGTCCATCTGCGAAAAGTATAGGAAGTGGCACAGAAGGTCTAGAGTAGCGTCGATGCGGGGCAGCGGGAAGACGTCTTTCTTTTTCACAGAGTCGGCGATAGTCCTCACAAAAACTCAGGGTTCCGTCCTTTTACAGCGGAGCTGTTAAGGGCTAGGTTCCCCAGGATTGTGTCCGTGTGTATTGACACAAACCTACCTTGACAGTTACCACCATCAATAAGCGACGGCGGCAAGCACACAACCAGTATGGTTTCCACCGTCGCTCGTAGATGGCGGCAACCTTTCCAGCTTTAATTGAAGAATGGATAGTTGGGCGCGTTGGTGGGAATTTATTGTAGGAAACAGCGCGCAGAACGGACGACGACAATGTATCGCGTACAGCTCCGCTGGTCTTCCTTCTTCACGAGAGTGGAAACGCTGTTTTACAAGCAGAACAGGCGAAGCCCATGGACTGCTTGACGGCTGGATGATGTCATCGTCGAGCATTTACTGAACTTGTTCTTGGATGACTTTCCTCTTGTTCAAAAAGACACGACACGGTGACTGGTGTACGGGGTGAACGTCGTCGTCGGTAACACTGCGATGTTTTCCCACTAGCCTTCAGCAAACTTTTGGCGACGTGGCTAAACAGTTACTGTATTCAGCAAAAAGATTAACCAGCTTCTGGCACTTTGAAGCTGGAAGCTCGAGGTGAATGCCGAGCTGCGGCGTCGACGAGCTCTTGTGTTGTGATGACGTGGTTCCTCAGAGATTGCGGTGACCATGGCTAATGCTTGGAGCTCCTCGACGTGGCCCATGGTGGTACCTTTCGCTAGGTGCTGTAGATTCTCTCGAAAGTTTGTTACGAGAACAGTTGTACGTCATTCTTGGAGATCCTTACACCTCGTGCTACGACAATTCATATTTCAAAAAGCAGTTCGACGTTGCCTCCCAGCATAGATTCACCGCACATGGCTGCGTCGGTTATGACGGTCACGGAAACACTCGATCGCGGAGTCAGGATAATGCTACACATTATTATGGCGAATTCCCCTGGGCGTTTTGGAGCGCGCCGGTATCAATTGACAAAATCCGGAATGGAGCACACGATCCGAACGGGGTCGCGCCGCCTACGGATCCCCCGTGGAATATGACCACTGCTTCGGGATCGGCGGATGCCTTCCCGTCATTCACCTGCCCGGGAATCCCCTTTCCGCGGCCGCCGTGGCCGTTTCGAAAACGTTTTCACGATCGCGGCGCTAACACGTGTTCGACGCACGAGCGGCAGGAATAGCTCAGGAGCTTCTAGCAAATATGGCCGGAATGCCGGAAGCTGCTCGAGCAACTTGACGACGAGCTGTCGTCAAGCAGCAGCAGCAGTAGGGTTACTAAGGTGGACGGTACAGGCGGCACCTCCCGAGCGGCCATTACGAATTCTTCTGAGGCGAGATGGGCGAGATCAGGCGAGATGCCCCGCGAGAAAGGAAGTCACGTGTGTGCGCCGAGGGCTGGTCCGGCTGGTTTCCGGTTGAATCCGCCGAAATCGGCGAAGTGACTTTTCTCGGATCCAGATCGAGATCTGGAGCGGGATCTAATCCAAAACGACCAGTGGAACACGTCCGTCTTGATCCCGATCGCCCGGTGAAATAGGATCCATCCAGAAAAGTTGATCCCGGCGCGCTCCAAAACGACCAGTGGAATTCGCCATTAGAGACTTTACTAGTGCTCTTTAATCTATGTACAAGTATTTACACGAGATGTACTTTTGGTATAGACCGGGCATCGGCAGCTAGTTGGGGTAGGTCATCAGTTCCATGATTGCTCGCGCGTTGTTCTCGAGACTGTCTGTTGGTTGTCGTCGTCGTTAGTGCGACACCAGACGCACAAGCGGAAAAAAGATGATGTCTGAGATGCAGCAGTTAACATGGTCGGCAACAACTCAGATCGTGGTTGACGTTGTGTTGGTCTCCAACGGCGGACGAACAGGCTTTCGCAGCGTCAGCCGGTTTGCCCCGATGTCCACGACGGTGCCATACCCGCAAAGAAAGTCCATTTCGAGGATAACATCCCTCACATAGTCTTGCAGAACGACGAACTTCACAGGGCACGTCTCGCCGAGAATCTCGACTCGGGCAGTGCACATTCCGACGGGCGTAATATGGTTTCCTCCGGCGGTTCGAATTTGAGGTCCACCCCAGGGCGTCGTAATTTTTCGCAACCGGCGAGAGAGCCTCCCTCTCAAGACTGAGTAGTCTGCTCTGGTGTTCATGAATGCCGATGCGTTGTGGCCGTCGATAACAACGTTTAGGTTACTGCGTACCGTTGCGGAAGTGTCGTTTCGATGCGTGGCGTCGGGAGTGTGGGAGCGCACTGGCGTTGTTGGAGGCTCTTTACTTAGGTCGTCTTCGGCAACGCCACCTCCAGGCGTTTCCGAACTTAGTTTCCCCGCCGAGAGCGACAGAATGGCGAAAACGCACGTCGAAGTGAATGTTAGCGAGAACCTCGTGGTAGAGTCAGCACCGGGGACAGGTGCCGTCTGAGGTACTCCTTGATGTCCCTTGGTCGCCCCCTATGGCAGGTCGCGGATCGCTCGGCGCAAAACCTCGCAGGCCCACTTGTCGGTATGGGTATCTCCGCTAGACCTGGTCGGCCTCGCCACAGCGATAACACAGGGGTCGTTGATCGGCCGCGCGCCACACATCCGTCTTCTTAGGCGCCGGTTGTTCGGTGCAGACGAGCTGAGGCTGCCTTTCCCGACGTCGGAAAGTCTGCGACACTGGTAGCTCACGTCGAGGCGGCGCCGAATACTACCGGGCAGTTGGCGCCGGTTTCCTAGCTACTGCAGCGTAGGTCAGGATGGGCTCCTCGGGTGTCGCTACGCTGGCAGGAGCTCTTGGATTGCCCGATGAACGTCCTCGCGGACAACTTCGGCTATAAACCGCGAAGCCGGCTCTTAGGCAGCAGAAGCTTCCTGAGCTATTATCGGACAACGTCGTGAATTATCTCGCCAATGCCTTGGATGCTGGAGAAAAACTCGCAGCTAGACGGCCCAAGGGCAGTGACGATGGGTAGTCTCTGATATTTACTGGCTCGGGCTTGCAAGGCACGCTTCATGTTCGTGGCGTCGGTGTCAAAACTTCGACCCTGGCCAAAGGGCAGCGGACGAGGCCTCCAGGTATATGGTCTCTCACCCCGCGCATGAGGACCGCAACTTCTTGACGTCTGTGGCTCGCGCGTCAGCAAGGGTGCTCAGGCGCAATACATCTGCCCCGAAGGCGGTGGGGCCCTAGGTTCTGGCTCGAAGTAGGTCTTTGGCTCTTTCTCGGCGGTGTGGGGTGACAAACGTCCCCTTCAGCTCGTTCTTGAAGACGTCCCACAATGGGGAAGAAGACTCGTGATTTTCGTACCAGTGCCTAGCAGTCCCCTCAAGCGAGAAATAGGTGTTTTGCAGGCACTGCTCGTTTGTCCAGCCATTGTGGCGGGCAGCGCGTTTGTACTGACCGATCTAGTCTTCGACGTCTTCGCATCGTGCACCGTGGAACGGAGCAGCCGTTTTAATACTTTGAAATAGCATGCTTTAATGTTTTGACGTTGGATATATGCATAAGCACCATATTTCAAGAAACATTATGCCCATGCAGAAACTGAATATATTTTCCTTATCTTTTTTACGGTTTCACCCAAAATAAGCAAAAGAAAAAACGCAAAGCAAAAGGCCAAAAGCCAGAAACTTCACATGGCGTATCATATATGTCGTTTAACACCTAAAACTGTGAGGCAGAAAAGAAAAACACGTTAGTTGAAGAAACAAAAGTTTTTTTTTTCCTTTTTTGTACCCCAGTCTTAGGTGTTAAACGACATGATTAGCTACCACCAGCTCGCCTGCACACTCACAGTTTTTTTTCATGGCTTGGCACCTAGTAACACGGAATAAATTTAAGTGTAACACTCAGAACTACTTAATTTTCGCAAGGACCCAATGTTCGCGAATTGCTTGAATCGCCTACATTTCGCGAAAAATAGGTCTCGCGAACAATTTCGGTAAAATGTAAACACATTTCAATCTATATTGAGATCTCACCACGCCGAAAAAATTAGAACCCGCGAATTATTCGGAAATTTCAGCTTTGACCTAAATCGCGAAATATTAAACCCGCGAAACACAGGTCGTCTACAGTATTTTAGGGAAGAATATGTAAGGAGTAACGTAACTACATTATCCGGTACTCGAAATAAGTAACGTGAGTGCGTTACACGTTACTGTTTTGAAAAGGTAACGAGTAGGTTACTACTTTACAGAAGAAAATAACGCGTTACCGCCAACACTGGGAAATAGTAACGTGTATGTGATAGCCAGAGGCCAGACGGTCAACATTAGTTGGGAGGGAGGGGGGCGGCGTGGAAAGAAAACAGATAATAAAAGAGAAACAAGAGGGCGCCCTATTGTTTGAAGACCGGTGGCTTTGCTGCGTTTCCATCGGAGTTAAGGCATTCTTCTTTTTTTTTACTTTTCCCTTAAGTAAGTTCGCTCTTTGCAAATGTTATAGAAACAATGCACCACCTGTGGGCAACGCTACATAATATCCTAGCGGGATAGATTAAGAAACGTATTTTTGCGGTGGATTTAAAGAGCCTAACTGCTATTCGAGGCACCCTGTAGTACTACATACGTACACGCACGGGAATCACCACAAAACCGCACCAATGGCGGCCATAGGCGTGCAAGAGGCAGTGCAGCGCGAGGGAGCCAGAACAAAGGCCATGGTCTCCACCCGGCTTCTTGGCGCAGGCGTTCGGCAACAGCTTTCAGTGCGTCTGCGAGGCAGGCTTTTCGGGCCGGCTCTGCGATCAGGCTCAAGGCGGGTGCACCAGCGACCCGTGCCAGAACAACGGCACGTGCCACAACGACGGACCAACGGGCGTCGCCTGCACCTGCACGCCGGAGTGGACCGGGCCCCTCTGCGAGGAGCCGCGGCAGGGTAAGCTTCTCTGCATACTGCATATGCTGGAAGCGCATCTGTATAGTCAACGCACTAGGTGTATGTGGTCAGCTTTGTTGGCAACCGAGTAAAGTTGATATTGATGAACAGTAACGTGTAACCTTATATCATGACTTTCGGTCCGCGTGAGAAGTAACGGTTTTCTTAATCCTTTGTTTTGTTCTCCCTCTGGAACCAATGTGCCTCTAACCGAGGTGTGGTTAACACCGCGGCGTAAAGTGTCCAGACGAACGAGTCCTTTATAAAGTGGGAGGCTGTACTCCCTATGGTACATTACAAATGGTGGTACAAAAGCCAAATGAGCAACTTCAGTCGTCTCTTGAATCCTGCAACGATACTCTGGAAGAGTCACTGCCTAGCTTACGCTTATATAATTAATTTCCAACTTAGTAAAATGTCGCATTTTCCGTCGCAGCGTGTGGGGGCCAGCTGTACGGTACCAACGGGACGTTGCGGTACCCGGAGACCGGCGAAGCGTACACCCACAAGCGGAACTGCATCTGGGTGCTGAGGACGACTCGAGGCAAGGTAGGCAGCCTCAGACAGCACATCATCTTCGTCCGGCATACTGAGCACTTTTAGTCTTAGTTTAATGCTGTGGCATAGCCGCGTCATTTGGAGCGCTAAAGCAAAGCTTCTTATTCCATACCGAAAGCAGGTATCGCCTTAGAACATACATAAGATGATGCCGAACGAATATAAGTATGTAAACATTGTAATTGAAAAGGTTACGTGCATGAACCTTTGACATGAGCAGGACACACGACCCTTACGTAGAAGTAATATTAGTATGAGAAAAGATTAAAAACAAACTCATGAGCTCTGAACAATGTGAAAACCTCATGGACGGAAACACAGAGATGTGTTATCTTTTTTAATCGTAGCAGTATAAAAAGGAAAGTGGGCGAACTGACTCATGGCATATTGCATAGATACCTGTTTCTGGTAGTATGCGATGGCTAGTAAAGTGGAGATTTGGGCCAGTTGGTTCATTGCAAGCAAAAAGCGCCGAAAAAATACAGGGACACATACGAAGGGAAACAGGACAAGGCGCACTCTCAACTGATGTTTATTGAAAATTCACACGTTATATAGCCACACACACACAAGAAAAAAAAACAAAAAAACAAAACAAGATGAGTGTCGCGGTATTGTCTGCTGCAACACCACCTAGATGAGAAGCCGTAGTGATAAATGTTCTACATCATCAGCGGAAGGCCAGCCAGGGTCACGTATTGGTCACGAGTGCTGTGTCAGCGTAGCTAGTCAATAACACAGGTTCGATCACCAGCGGGATGCTGTTTCATGCAGGTGCTGAACGTCAGCTTCTCAGAGTTTCACCTCGAAGACGGCGGTTCCGACTGCGGATTCGACTTCCTCGAAATCCACGACGGTCCGACGTCGATGAGCCGGGCCCTGGGCCGCTACTGCGGCACCACGCTCCGCGGAAAGAACCTGGCGTCCACGCACGACAGCCTCTTCCTCTGGTTCAAGACGGACAGTTCCGTCACCGGCATCGGCTTTGCCCTTGACTGGATCACGACGGATCCCGGTGAGTGCTCGCACACTTGCGGTGTTCCAGTGTCTGACGAATCAACAACGAAATCACCACTTTATTTCTAAAGTCCTATAATGCCTGATATGCAGTTTTTAAACAGCGATCGTTCAAAATTTGCTTAGAGGATATTAAACATTCGTTTCGGGAATGAAAAGCAAAAACAATGTTTACTTATGCTCCTGCCAAATCTATAAAGTAAATTGACTACCTCACTTGAAGTAATGGTATCACAGACACCTCGATTTGACACCGTAGCGTCAGAAGATGCCATGGCGTAACCTAAAGTTGCGTGACTTCAGATGACTTGAGATCCATTACCCTGCTTAATTCATTGAGAAAACTCCTAAATTTCGCTTTTAGATTTAGCTTGGAAGCTGAAGTCACGAGACCTGAAGTCACTCCAAGTCTGCATTGTCTCGTGACGTCACGGGGTCAAACATCGGTGTCACGTGACGTTAATTTCCTCGGAGCACTTAGCAAGTAAACGTGCGAGTGGACAGCCGGGCACATTTGGGGGATTGTTCCGAAGCATTTCATGCTGCTTCACTATCGGCCTGTGCAGTGTGCGGCAGGGATTTCCCGGTGGCCGACGTCGGGTCGGTGAGCTCCCCGGGCTACCCGGACCACTACCCGTCCTCGCGGGACTGCATGTGGACCGTTGCCGTGCCTCCCGGGAAGCGCATCCAGATCCACCTGGCCACCGTGCAGATGGAGCACCACCACAACTGCTCGTTCGATTTCCTCAAGGCAAGTAGTCCCATGGCGGGTCAGCACTACTCAGATTAATCAAAAACCATACAAAAGAATTCACAGGGTCTCTTATGTGATTCCTAAGACGACATAAAGGCGAAAGCCCAAGCTCCGATGCATTAAAGACAGACACCCCTCTTGATGTGCTGAGTCATCCTTCTCAATGTGCTGGGTCATCATGTTAATTCGCTTAGTCATCGACTTAATTCATCTTAATTCCCTTTATTGCTCTTCATTCACTTTGATTCCTCTTAATTTGCTTTGTCATCCTTCTTAATTCCATTGTCTCTAATCGCCTGAGTGGTCACGTAAACGTTTTGGTACCATTCGTGTCGCCGACGTGTTTTCGCTCAAGGACTTTGAAGGTCGACCGAACGACGAGGCATATAAGGCTTAAAGCCTTAATAGCGATAGTTTTAGCGCTGACACAGATTCGACACGAGTGCTGCCTCTCCGTTCGGCTGGGTTACGTGACCCAGTCAATGGGTCGAAGGACGCTTGACGTCAGGCTGGGGCCCAATTGCGACATCCTAGTGTCATGAAGATATTTAACAGCTAGAAGAGGGGCTGCGCACATGCTTTCGGGCATCGTGAAACCTGAGGTTTTTCTCATGTGACGAAAAGGTCAGGTTCCGCGGGAAAATCAGTCGGATTTCTCCCGTCCGCGAATGCCGCCCTCCCCCTCTCCCCCTCCCCCCCTTCCTGCGCCAAGCGAGATGTTCGACGACGAAACATTTTCGTGACCTGGCTCAGGTGTACGACGGCGCCAGTGAGCGGGACCAGCTGCTGGGGACCTTCTGCGGCAGCGGGGCCCCCGGTCCGCGCCCGGTCCTCACGTCGAGCCACTTGGCCCTGCTGCACTTTCACTCGGACGACTCGAGCACCGACGTGGGCTTCCACGCCACCTACGCTTCCGTACCAGGTGGGAAAACGCCGCTCGAAAGCATTTTCTGCTCGAGCCTTTGCTTCTATATTTGCCCGCGAATAGTGTTTTGCCGAGGAGGCAGCCGTACATACAGGTGTCAGGCTTAGATATCTTAATTCCAGGAAAAAAAGAAAACCTATTTGTGCTATAGCTTGTTTCTTTAGGGGTCCCTGCCCGTTTCGATCTCGATGAGCATCATCCCTGCATGCTGTCGAATGTCACTACTACTGCGTGCTGCATGTTAAAGGCTCCAGGCCAGCAGCGGTACGGTAACCCACTGGCTTAATGTCTTACAACGGCGACACTAGACGCCCGCTGGGGCAGACGATCTTCCCGCTATTGAAACATACAGAGAACGCTTAGATCATTAAATTATATGATCATTCTAATGAACTAAAGCAGCGAAAAATCACGTTGTAAATTTCTTGTCAGAATATGTTTTTTTTTCCTCATTTATAAATGCGTTAGATGCACGTGAATAAGGGCAGTCAGTGCTCCCAGATCCACAATAATTTCAAAAAGCGTGTTCCAATCGGTTATTGTGTTTGGAAAAAAGAATGCCTCGAACGATACAGTTCTGCACATCGGTTCAGTAAGTTTTAAGGGACCTTAGTTCCTATAGGGAACCTAACTCCGTAAAATGACGAGTAACGATGACGATGCATACGCAGATTCCCGCGAACCACATGAAAAAGATGCTTACGTGGTTTACTTTTCACCCAGCTGCAAATTTACGTAATCCTGGCGACAAATGTATCTCTGACGTTGATAGCCTAGAACTATTTCGACTGTATTGAAAATAAGTTATTTTTGTGCCCAGCTTTTAGCCGATGCGTCAATTATTGGGCATGAGTATCCCACCTGCTGTACGCGTACACCAAAATTTTTTTTTTAAAAATAATACTTGCGTAAAGATATAATTGTTCTTCCGGTGTGCAATGGGAGAATTAAAAGCGAAAGAACAGAACACGCAGGACAAGCAGATGACAAGCACGTTCTTTCACTCAAGGCCATCGTGGAAGAACATGATTGTCGTCTGCTTGTCTACCGCGTTTTATTCTTTGGATTTTAAGTATTTATGTTCAACTCGCTTTCTTTTACCGATGGGAGATGTTTGGCTCCAAAATTCCACAACTTCCGCATGGCCGTGTGAGGAATGAACTTGACAGAGGTGCAGCAGGTGCAATCTGCTCGATTAAACAAAATACCGAGGTATCGGTATTAGGTAGCAGGCACGAATGGTTCGGATTTAACGCTGTATGCGAAAGCCAGTAGTTTTGTTCTTCGCGTCACAAACATTTCAGCGCACTTCTTTTTATTCAAAACCGTATTCCCTTTAGAGCGTCATTAATGAGTGAAAGCATGATTTAGTTCATTCTAATCGAATAACTCGCTTACAATTAAAAAAGTGAAAGCTGCTTACAACTCCCTGTAACGCCGAATTAGAGCGCAGCTCTTGAGGAGGAGGAGGGAAGGGCACTGGGGGGGGTTAAACTAACCAGGGGGGGGTCACGTGACCTTGGGGGTCACGTGACCCCCAATGCCGATGATGTCATCACTGAGGTCACTGATGGCGTCATCATTGACGATGACGATGCGGGTACGATGACGTCATTAGTGACGTCACTGATGACTTCACCAGTGATGATGACGATGACGATGCGAATGTCGGTGACGTCATCAGTGACGTCGCTGATGACGTCATCAGTGATGATGACGTTGACGATGCGGATGTCGGTAACGCCATCAGTGATGATGACGATGACGATGCGGATGCCGGTGACGTCATCAGTGATGATGACGATGACGATGCGGATGCCGGTGACGTCATCAGTGACGATGACGATGACGATGTGGATGCCGGTGACGACATCAGTGACGTCACTGATGACGTCATCAGTGATGATGACGCTGACGATGCGGATGTCGGTAACGTCATCAGTGATGATGACGATGACGATGCGGATGCCGGTGACGTCATCAGTGATAATGACGATGACGATGTGGATGCCGGTGACGTCATCAGTGATGATGACGATGACGATGTGGATGCCGGTGACGTCATCAGTGATGATGACGTCATCAGTGATGATGACGATGACGATGTGGATGCCGGTGACGTCATCAGTGACGATGACGTCATTGGGGGTCACGCGACATCGGCGGGGGTCACGTGACCTCAGGGGAGTCACAAGACTTCGGGGGGTCACGTGACCTCGGGGGGGGGGGGTCACGTGCCCCCCACGAGGTCACGTGACCCCGGTAGGGGGCTCGCGCGGTGCATTATGGGACATTTCCCATGATGCACCGGGGTCACGTGACCTCGGGGGGGTCACGTGCCCCCCCACGAGGTCACGTGACCCCGGTGGGGGCTCGCGCAATGCATTATGGGACATTTCCCATGATGCACCGCGCGGTTACGCCGACGCCGACGCCGACGGCGACGGCGACGCCGACGCCGCTCAAGCCGGAAACGGGCCCCTAAGAGCTGCGCTCTAAAATGAAACACAGTCAATGGCGGAAAGCAGACTTTCCTTCATGCGCAGATTGTTTTATCCAGCGGTCGTTTACACGAATCGCGTGGAGAAAGTAAAATCCGTTTGTAAATCAGAAAGGTATACAATATTTTTGTGGGGAAACCCTTTATTTTCAATTACATCTACATACTTTAATCTCACAAAATTTCCTTTATTGCGTAGCAGAGGCACAAAGACGACGAGGGCTGTGACGATGCATTTTTGGTGCTGCTAGATTTACCCCTACAAATCGTCCGCTACGCTCGGACTGGGAAACCGACTCGCGTCTATCCTCTGCTAGGAACAATGATCCTGATTGGGTGCATTTCTTCCAATCAGCATAGGAATTGGCCAATCAGCCCACCCCATATCCTGTCCCAATCATGACAGGATGTGGGTGGCGGGCTGGAAGGCGCACTCACGTACGGGTTCTAACATTTCTACACTGCTTTGCACGCCACCCAGGATCACATTTCTGTCTCGCAAATATAATATTATTCTTAATGTTGTTATTATTATTATTATTTGTGGTTGAAAGAAAATAAACAGGAGCCAGTCCTGCGCATGCGCTAAGAACAATGACCAACAATATGGCGTTCTACTAACGTACCCCCTTAAGGCCAAACCGCATAGGGCGTGTTTGCGACATATTTATGACCGATTCACAGGACGGACTGATCCGCGGACGGATTGATCACGTGACGACATGTCCGCGGTTCGTCCGTCTCCCAAGCGCATCCACACGAGGGAGACGACGAGCAGACGGCAGCAGGGACGAACCGAACCTGTTCGCTACCCCACAGTGCCGCGAAACTCCAACATCGCACCGTGGCGCCGTTGTCCAAGAGAGAAATGTACGTTTGGTACCGCTCTAAAGAATTGTACACCACTGTTACGTACAGATCGAGACAAAACACCGTGATAGTCTTCGCGCGAAGCGATACTAGCCTTACTAACCCAAGGCATGCATGACAGTAACACAGGCATGGTCGTGCTCGAGGAGGGTTCGGTGTTCAAGCGACGAAAGTTCTGGGCTCACGAAGGGGCGTTTGGAAATGCCTTCATGCACTCGGCGCTCGTGCACAACACTCAAGTACACCACAGCCACAAGAAAGGTCTTGCTCGCTGAAAGCTTGGTTGGATGTGTAAGAATTATCGAGGCGTGCTATAGACGAGTTTTGACTGGAGCTTCTTGACACGGACCCGGAGGAGTACCAGAATCTGCGTTGCTTCAGCCGAACAAAGTTTCTAAAGTTTCTTTCACGTGCGGGACCAAGAAACGCGCGACAAAATGACAAAACAAAACGCTGAGCTAATTTTGTTTTAATTGTCAAAAAAATAAAAAATAAAAAATACAAGGCAAGACAACTTTTTGCCGCCGCTTAGACTAAACGCTTTTCAACTCAGTCTCCCGGCAAAATTCCAAAGGGAAATGGCGCTCAAATTTATCAGTCCTCACGTCCGCGGACGAAAATCGCGATTTCGTCCGTCTTGTGAATTGGCTATTAAGGCCGGCTCACACAGGGCGTATTCTCGACGAATTCACGCGCGTTTCAGCGGGCGTAATCGCGGGATTTGGCGGGCGCTTTTTTCACAGAAGGGAAGAGGGGCGTATTATGCAGTGTAGCCCGGCTCGCGCCTTCATGAGAGGTGGCAAAATGTAGATCGGCTGCTATATTATTACGTTCCGCAAGGGAACAGAAATAACGGAATATTAATAAGCAACCAAAGCCCAATTTTCTAACACATGCTTCAGAAAAGTTTGTTGGAAACGTCGAGTTGCCAAAAACTCTCGGCAGGGGGACGGCCGCGATCTCCGCTCAAAACCCCTCCTTTTGTAATTTTTTTCACATCGCCCGCAACATCGATGGTATTTTCTTCTGTCTCAGTCGTTCATCGCTCGTTCCAAAGAGATATAGCGATTTCGTACAGTTCGCCGATAAACCGGGGAACGTGACAAGCGAGCTCCCATTTCGGCGGCTGTGTCAAGCCAGCCAGCCGGCCGCATAGCTAAGCAAGCCGATTTTCGGGTAACTTCCGGCTCTCAACTCTGGAGCTGATTGGCCGGCACCGCGCCGTACGCTTCCGGGTACGCCACACCGAATTACGCCGAACCGCCCAGATCTGTCTCGGTCGGATCGCCGAATACGCGCGTATTTACGCCGTCCGAGGAGGTTTGGCGGACGTAATACCGACGTATAGCGGGCGCCGGGACGAGCACTTCCTCGCCGCCTCGAGGTCGGCGTAAATATGCGCATATTCGGCGATCCGACCGAGACAGATATGGGCGGTTCGGCGTATTTCGGCGTGGCGTACCCGGAAGCGCACGATGCGGTGCCGGCCAATCAGCTCCCGAGTTGAGAGCCGGAAGTTGCTTGAGGATTGGCTTGCCTATAGTCGGTTACAAGTCAAGAAGGTAGGAGAAGCTCCTCCCACAAGCTTGATGCGCCCGTTTCAAATCCATCCTCAGTCGAAAGAGGAGTTCACTGGAAACACTCCTTGTTCCGCTTCAATGGATTCCAACTTGTCTCCGATCACCCTTTTTAAGAAAGCGACCTTTGTAATCATTGGGGGGGGGGGGGGGGGACCGAACCCCTGAAAGGCAGCCTTTGTGTCCATCGGGGGGGAAGCTTACCCCCGAGAGTCGTATTTGTTTTCATCGGAGAAGGAAAACTTTAATATCCCTCTCGTGGCTTCCACAATGCTAAGTCAAAGTCGAGAGATAGAGCAAATATGCACAGAAAAGCAAGCCCCTGCTCGCGCGTTGGCCGGGACGTCACGGAAACGATGGGACGCTATTGGATGCGGAGGTGGCGGAGGGATATCTGATTCCCTTTGAGGGGCATTTGCCGCTACCTTCTTGACCTGTAACCGACTATAAATATGCGGCCGGCTGACTAGCTTTACTCAGCCGCCAAAAAAAGATCTCGCTCGGCGCCTTCATTGTTTTATTGGCAAACTGTACGAAAACGCTATATCGTTTTGGATTGAGCGACGAACGACTGAGACAGAAGACAAACCATTTATCTTGCGGGCGATCTAAGAAAAAAAACTGTAAAAGGAAGGGTTTTGAGCAGAGATCGCGGCCGTCCTCCTGCCGGGACTTGTGGGCAACTTGGCGATTGTAAGCAACATTCATGAAACAGGCGTTAGCAATTTAGGCTTTCGTGGTTGATTAACATTTAGTTATTTCTGTCTCCTTGAGGAGCGCAATAATATAGCAGCCGAGCTACATTTTGCGTCCTTTCATGAAAAGCGAGAGGCGGGCTACACTGCACGAAACGCCGAGGAGACATTGACCAAAAGCGCCGTGTGCGGTTTGGTGAACCTTTCCTGTTCCATTCTGTAAAAAAAGTAACCGCCAAATGCCGTGATTAGGCCCGCTAAAACGCGCGTAGATATGGTGAGAATACGTCCTATGTAGGTCGGCGTTTAGTGCGCGTGTGACGTCGTTTATCGCCTTGTCCGCTGAAAAAAGATTCGTTGGCGTTTTCAGAAAACTCGTTTGCTCCTCCTCCTGACCCTAAGCTGGCAGTGTGGTGGAAACTACGTGCTCGTTGGAGCGCTCAAACATTTATCCTCTGTCCCGTGATCTCGCTGTCGCCCATACCCACGTGCAGAGGGCGGTGTCAGGCGATGAAAGCGAGGCGGTTCATTGGTCCGGAGTGCGCATCGCTCGCAACGTACTGTCACCGTGGGTGTGAACGAAACACACTAGTTTTACGGGAGAAGCTATAGACGGTTTGCAGCAGCTCTGCATGTGCACCGCCATAACCGACCTTCAGTTTTGCAGCGAAGCTGTTTATGGCTAGGGTTCCGTGGATTTTTCGTGTGCGTCAACAAAAACTCAAAGGAGGCTCGCATCGCCCTCTCTTTGTTGTCCTTCCAAGCGCTTGCGTGCCTAGCTTCCTTTTCTTCCGCCAGGTGGCGGTTCCGTAGCGCGTGTCTTGATACTCTACTGTAAAGGGCTTCACCCTATGCCTACCGAAGACAACATAGATTTAATAAAGTCATTGGGTTTTAGAGACAGCGAAGGGAGAGTGGATTTCAAGACTGTAGAGATTACCAAGCAAAGATTAAGAGAATGGCGGCAGAAATCGAGAGAAAACTAGGTATTTTCTTACTCACTGATGGCAAGGGGGTTTCATAGCCTCACTTTCTTTGCACTGCGGAGTGAATATAGATTTCACATTCAAATATTCTAAGCTTAAATGGTAAAACAAAATGGCTAGGTGGCGTAAGCTACCGCCCGATCCAAAGGGCTCAGCCGTATTCATCCATCCATCCATCCATCCCGTCGCGCGTGTGTTTTCGCGCGCGCGCGGGAAATGGATACAGTGTGCACTGCTTGTGGACAGGAGGACGAGACGGCTGAGCACTTGATACTCTACTGTAAAGGGCTTCATCCAACGTTACTAGAACCACTCAGTTGGGAAACTGCCATAGAGACTGCTCTGAAAAAGTGGCCCCAATCTGTCCTCCAGAACCGAGCTAATGGCGAACACAACACCGCCAATTCTCCCGCAGCGGCCACGCGAGGAACTGCATGTTACTTCTATTTTGGCTTTCATCGGCCAATGTGGTGCCGAAACAGATACAGCAGAAGAGGTTACATGGGTGCCACCCCCGTCTCCCCAGCGGACGCGCCGCGAATTTCTACCGAAGTTAAAATGTACCTAGGACGGGACGCGCTACCTGAAAGGACCGCTGAGGCATGGTTGGATAAAAACAATATTAATTGTTCCAAAAAACCTTGCACACTAAAGATTTTAAAAATATCACACGTTCTTCATTTTGTACTAAACTCCAACAAATTTTATACAAAAAGAGTCTTTTCCGTTTGTTTTTACGGAAAAACAGGCTTTCTAAAAGCTCAAGGTGACCACCTTACAGACAAATAATAAAGAGTGGCGCTGCTGTCGTATTTAGCTCGGTCTCGGTGGACGCCAGCAGCCCAAGTCTCGACGGCGAGTTTCCCAACTGACTGTTCTAGTAACGTTGGCTTCACCCTATGCCTACCGAAGACAACATAGATTGAATAAAGTCATTGGGTATTAGAGACAGCGAAGGGAGAGTGGATTTCAAAACTGTAGAGATTACCAAGCAAAGATTAAGTGAATGGTGGCAGAAAGCGAGAGAAAACTAGGTATTTTCTTTTTATCTGATGGCAAGAGGGTTTTATAGCCTCACTTTCTTTGCAGTGCGGAGTGAATATAGACTTCACATTTAAATATTCTAAGCTTAAATGGTAAAACAAAATGGCTAGGTGGCGTAAGCTACCGCCCGATCCAAAGTGCTCAGCCGGATTCATCCATCCATCCATCCATCTAGTTTCCTCCGGCTCCTCGGGGCGGCGATAGTCCTCGGCATGTGTGTAAATACCTTTCGTCACGGTGACCACCGATCAAGACAATAAACGTGTTCGTACCTTTGTTCTGAACTCAGTGTCACGTCTGTGTCGTGTGTTAAACAGCTTCGCTGGTCATCCACCCTCGCAGAAAGGAATGGCTCATGTTTGTTTCCTCTTATTTTGATCGCTTCGTTCTATGATTACCATAACAGGACAGGTCATTGCCATTTTAGATCTTACTGTTCCCCTCTACCCAGCATTGGCCTTTGTGGAGGCTCGTCCAAGCCCGCTTCTATGGTTTGGTATCTGGGTAAGACATGAGAAGGTCAGCGATGGCGGCTGTATTCTGGCCCGTGTGCAAGGCGCCTATAAAGCCCGTGCGTCATCAGGCCCAATTTTGATATGCTTTGCGGCGGGCGTACACAGGTGTTCCTGGATGCGGGGGCGTGCTGTCCCGGGCCAAGGGCCGCTTCACGTCGCCGTCCTACCCGAGCCCCTACGAGAACGGCCTGCTGTGCGAGTGGGAGATCCGCGCCGCTCCCGAGGAGAGGCTCCAGATCACCTTCGACAGCTTCACCCTGGAGCAGCATTCGGCGTGCCGGTGGGACGCGCTCGAGGTGAGATGCCAATCTACCAAACGTGCCTAACGAAGTTGCCGAGGCATTCGAGGAACACCACACTCTCGAAAGAGAGGTTTATGTAGCTCACGCGTTTCACCAAACAAACAGCTTCGGAGAAAAAAAAAAACAAAAAAAACACGCGTTATCTAGGAGGCGAGATTGGCTCGAGCGATTCTCAAATGTGTTTCCATTCCGGAATCGACGTTTCGAAATTGAAGCAGGTTTTGGAATCGCTCCTTATTCGAAATCAGTCTCGCGACGTAAGCAACGGGCTGTTTTGTTTTTTGGGAACATTTTATTTTGTACTACCGCGAACACATCTGTCTACACCGCGCGAACAATGACCGTTCCGTACTCCCAGCTTCGTATGATCTCTGAATCGGACTTTGAGATTCCTCTCGGAGATTGTTCGTTCTTCCTGCTTGAGATCGCAACGCCACTTGGTCGTCTGTGAGGCACAAAACAGACGACGCCAGAGCGCTATCCGACGTTATCCAGCTCTGTCCACATGGGTGCATTATCCCGGCATTAAAAAGGAAAGTTTGGGAAAGTTCGATGGCTTTTTTTTTTCGTTTTTTTAATGGGCTGGTTCTGTTTTTAGGTCAAGTCTTTCAACCATTTAAATTTTTTATGCTATAGAAGTCGTATTTATCGGTAAAAAATTGACTTTGAACCGAGTGAATATATGAATTGTCAATTCGACGGGATTACTACGAATAAGGTTACCGGTTTTAAAGCCATCAGATATAGCTTCCAACCGATGGTTACTTTGCCCGCTACGGGGTTCGGACGACAAGGTGCACACAGACCCCATTTTGCCACTATAGATTTTTTTAGGTTTTTTTTTATAAATGTTAACCTCCTTATAAACGCGAGAACATTGAAGATATGTGTGAGAAAATATAAAGTCGAGAGAACCTAGCCGAAAAAAAATGCATCAAGGACAAGGTATATTTTATAAACAGCACGAAACAGTACTTTTATTGCATGCCAGCGTCTCAAAATAGGTCATTTGTAAGGAGACAAGAAATAAGGCGGTTATAAATGGTTGTTGTGCCATGTTTAAGGCGCTCTTAATCACAAACTAAAATTAGTGTATAGTAGTAACATGTTGGTTTTCAGCGTCATTTATAGTGCAATGTGAACGACCTAGCAGGGAACGCGGGCAAACGAATAATATACGCACTCCCGCTTCTTGAGCCTCGAGGTGGCCTACGTAACCAGCGGCATAACGGCGCGCTCTGAGGGCGAAGACGGCCGACGTAATTGCAACCGTATTTTATTAGTTTTGAAGCAGAGTGATTGTATTTGTACTTGAAATACATTTTCTCAGTAACCTACCCATGCATGTGCCACGCACCAATAATGCGGATCACTTACGGCGCACGACTTACCCAGTTCCCTCCTTCAAGTACACCACCCCAACAGCCAGATTACAATTCTGTATGAACTTCTTAAGCCTATCTACAGTACGCCAGCATGGCGCAAAGGAAACGCAGTGAGGGCGCGGGTGAGCTGGTGTGAGCTTACCATTTTGTTAAAGCAGCCGAGACTGGGTGAGAAAATCTTCAAAGAACCAAAAGTAAAAGAGACAGGGAAAGAAGTCAGTCAGATGACTTCTGAGTTCGGGACGTCGTCTGGCTGATTTTTCCCCTGTCTCTTCTATACTTATGGTTGTTTTAAGATTTTCTCACCCAGTCTCGGGTGTTTTAACAAGATAGGACAGAGGATGGACACATCGTGCTGGGTTCATTTGAGCGTCGTGTTCTCACGGTTTCGGCACGAGTCGCATCCAAACGCTGTCGCGAGATTGATGCCCAATTAGAACCCTGCACTGACCTCCGGTACCTGGAGTCCTTCAGAACGGCCTGGTGACTCTCAGCGCTGGCTGTGCGCAGGTGTACGACGGCCGGGACGACAACGCTCCTCTGCTGGGCCGCTTCTGCGGCTCCGCGCTTCCGCCCGCCGTTCTGTCGCACGGAAGCGTCCTCTACGTGCGCTTCAGGACGGACCAGAGCACCCAGCTGCAGGGCTTCTCCGCCAGTTACGAAGCGGGTCAGTGGTGGTGTTCAGGGAAATTGACCGCTTCACACCCTCATAAACGTTGTGTGCGGTGGTACCGCTTAGCCACCGTGGCTATGTAGTCTTGCGAGAATCTTTGCATGAATACAACAACCGCAGTAAAGTGCTCCCTAAAAAACACTAATCCCCCCGCCTAAAAAAAAGAAAAAAACAACAAAAAAAAAAAAAAGAAATTCAAGGGCTTATTGTAATACTTAGGTTGAGAGAAATATTTTGAGTATTGTCACGTGCTTCCATTTTGTGCCTCTTTTTAGGGACGACTTTCCGAAATGAGAGCACGTTCTGAAATTGATCCTCACTCAAAAAAAGTAATTTTACAACGCTGATATAGCGCTTTTTGGGGGCGAAAAGTGTATTTTACACCGTTACCTACATCCTGATTACATTCTTTCATTCATACCTACAAACATGTGCAATTTGACTCCTTAATATTTTTATTTTCTTTTAGTTAAAACTGTGTTTGTAGGAGTTATTTCTAAACATGCTTCTCTTTCGGTCGACGTGCAGAAATATCAGTCACCTTTAACTCACAATGTGCCTCTAAATTGAACACGGCCATTAAAACAATGATCCGAACCATCATCCGCGACGAACTACGGCACCACTTAGTGCCGTAGTTGATGGGCACTACAGTGCGGATGTTGATGGGCACTACGTCGCACATCAACATCCGCACGTAGAATCTATGCAAAAAGTTGTGCAACAAAAAATTCGGGCAGTCACAGCTTGCTCCACTAACTCTAACACACGTGCTAGCATCACCGCCGCAACAACTTCTGTTCAATGCCGTCTGACTCTTACCTACGCTACCTCAGGCCGCCACCAAAACCAAACGCCCCCACGAACCTACGGCGCACGTCGCAGAACGGACGTCTGAGGAACGGAAGACAACCACTCAATTTGTTACAACTGTCATACGCCGGGTCATATTGCACATCATTGCCGTCGACCTAGAGACGCCCCAGTCTGCCGACTTTTCTGGAGGGACCCTCCCGCTACTTCCACACCGACGACACCATTCCTTCTGAGACCACCTTGCCAGAAATTCATCTTCGCCGCCCAACTTGCGCCGGGGCCGATCTACATCGCTTGAGCCTCGCCAGCCAGCGCTCTATGTCGCCACTCAATGCCGTTACCGAATCCAATGAGATATCAAACTAAACCCAGCAGCTTGTGCTAACAATGGAGGCCAGGCTGCACTATCGAAACTCCACGTACATCATCCTTGTGACGAACCAACGACGGTTCAGGTTGAAATTGACGGACATACATTTACAGCTTTGGTCGATACGGGTGCCACGAAGTCATGCATTGCTGAAAGTGTTCGTCCCTACTTTAAATTGCTGACACTCCCTCATGGACGCCCTGCTACACCTGCGCAAAGGGAAACTGATGCAGTCTCTCGATCACTCAACCGTGTCTATACTTCCTGGAGGCGGCCGCATGTTGTCATTTGAACTTTGTTATCAAGCTGCGTCTCTGACATCTTGTGAAGTGACCTTTTTGAATTCAACTGTAGTAAGGTAGTAAGCTGGGCTAGTTGATAAGGATTAAAAATGATGATAGACCGCGCACAAATAGACACAGCAGACGAGGTAAGAAGAGAACGGAAGCGCGTACTCACAACTGAAATGTATTGCGTGAAGAAAAGAACCATAAAACAAGATGACAGAGACACCGGCACGTGGGCATAAAATTCAGTCACGCCCAAAAGACCGCAAAAAGGAAACTTTTTTTTTTTTTTTGGCAAGCGCCACCGACGGCTGACTAATGAAGTTATCACCTAAGCCTATAATGGTATACGCCTCGAGCACCTCGCGTGTGTGTTTTTCTTCGTACCATCCAATAATTGAGGTCTTGTCAACCGATGGAAAACATGTACACCTCTTACAATGCACAGAAAAGTGGCCTTCTACAGTTGATGTTAAGGATATATTGTGCTCACGTTGCCCCTCATTGAGAGATAGGCCAGTTTGTCCCACATAGTACCCTCCACAGGAGAGAGGGATATTATACGCAACACCCGACGTACAACGGACAAAAGGGCGCACATGTTTTTTGTACCACATACCACGCCATAGGTGCAACAAAACTACGTTACCCGTCGCTTCCACCGACGCTGCGCGCGAGCACCCCGTCGAGATGATACAGATTTCTCTGACCGCTGCTGAAAACAAAGCGCTCCCTCCACAGCCTCCTGACCGCATATAGCGTCTTGTTTGACTTCAGTCAGAACGCTTTCACTCAGACGATAACCGTTACACATCCAATAGACGCCGATTCGGCAACTCCACTGAAAAACCGGCCATACAAAATTACTCCAGCTAAGCGAAAAAAAAACAAAAAAAAACGTAGCCGGCGTGTTAGACAGAGGTCTAATCGTACCTTCATCCAGTCCTTGGTCGCCACCTGTAGTTCTCGCGAAGAAAGGAGATGGTTCGTGGCGTTTCTGCGTCAATTACTGCCGCCTAAACAAAGCCACTACAAAGGACTTCAAGACGTTGCCTCGAATCGACAACACACTGGACGCGCTTCAGGGATCATCGTTTTAATTTTCGGTTTTATTTTCGCAGAGGCCATTGCCGCAATCCCACTTTCTGAGGAAGACAAGCCAAAAATAGTGTTTATTACTCCTGATTGTCTTTGCCAATTCATGGTAATATCATTTGACTTATGTAATGCCCCTCCTCCGGGATCTCACATGAAACATTGGTTTATGTTCTCTTGACCACGTTGGGACATCTTACAATAATCTTCACCAACTTCGTCAAGTGCTTGACTGCTTTCTTAGTACAAACCTCCAGCTTAATTTCAAAGAAAAGTTAAACTTTTTAGCTTGTGAAACGAAGGTACTTGGCCACTTGGTGAGCATCGATGAAATTCACCCTGATCCGAAAAAGATTTGAGCCGTCTCTGAATTTTTGGTTCCTAAATATCTACAAGATTTTCACAGGTTTCTAGGCCTTTGCATATATTTCCGGAAACTTATACCCGGTTTCTCTAACCTCGTCGAACCCCTCAACCAGCTACTTCGTATTGGTCAAGTGTTTCACTGGGACTCGCCTCAAGTAGACGTATTCGATGCAATTAAACGTGTCTTGGTCTCTATACCCATTAGTGGCCATTCCTTGGAAGGCGCCGAAAACGAAGTTCGCACAAATTCCAGCGGTCATGGCTAAGGTGCTGTTCTTGCGCAAAACATTGGCAATACCCCATGAGTAGTTGCGTATGACGGTGGAACCTCCACACAATGGGAGCAGAACTACGCAACAACCGAACATGAATGTTTAGCAGTCCTATAAGCAATTTAAAAATTTCGTCCATACATTTACGGCATTCACTTTTGGTTTAAAGTCTGAAGTTGAGTTAGTTGGTACATGTTAGCTATAAGTGTCAGCTAAAACATAAACACGAACACACAAAGGAGAGGAAGGCATAAGCAGCCGAGTGTTTGCCCCCTTTTTACCCTTTGTGTTTTCGCCTGTATGCTCTAGCTGACACTTATACTCTGCATCACTTTGGCATCGTGACAGAGTACCTTGCCCTTTGTGTGCTCAAAACTCTTAAGGACCCACTTGATCGGCTAGCACGTGAATCCCTCAAAATACAAGACTATGACTTCACCATCATCTAGAAGTCAGTGAAGCGTAACCTGGACGCAGACAGCTTGTCTCGCTGTCCCTTTCCTACTGATTCTTCTACACGAGAATCAGATGACGTCCTTTGTCTTAAGGAGTTTTAGACAGTATTGACATAGCGGATATTCAATTATTAGACTAAGACTCGCAGCAGCCCATTGTTCACTACCTGTCTGGACGCTCTAGCAAGTTTACGCTCCAGCTCCAACGGCGTGCGTGCATTTTTACACTTTACGAAAGAGTCCTCTACGGAAGAGACTATGTACCACACGGACGTCTTTGGCTTTTTGCCGTGCTACTCCAAAATGACATTAGAAGGACTCATCACAATGATCGACAGATGGACACCTTAGACTTATAGTAAGACCTGCGGATCCGGGCTCGTTATTTTTGGAATGGCATTTCTCGCACCATCAAGAAATACATCCGCATTTGTCATCTTTGCCAAAAACAGAAAAGTCGCGAAACCAGAAAATCTGGACTCTTTCAATCAATTCTACCACCTTTCAGCCCGTTGCATAACATGTGTATTGATTTTTGGGCCCCTTTCCACATTCCACTAACAACCACCAATGGGTTATCGTTGCCTTCGACTACCTCGCGCGCTACGCTGACTTTGTGCATCCCACCAGCAAGTGCACAGGAAGCCGCGGAATTCTTTCTTTAAAAATATTACTGCAACACAGTGCACCCTAAGTTATCATCAGTGATCAGGGCACACCATTCATCGCCAAGCTCACTGAGAAAATCTTTCCCCTCGTCAACACGGTTCACAAGGTAGCCGGTCCGTACCATTCACGAACCAATGGACTGAGAGAATTTCCCCATCAAACACAATCATAAATGATATCCATGTACGTTGACGACCACTACGCTAAATAAAATATTATTATTCTACACGAACCCTACCCATACAACACTGCGCGCCAAGCCACAACAGATTCTCGCCATATTTTTTTCATTACGCCCGTGACCCTCTTAGGGCTACTGACACGGTATTGCCCTTCATTGAAGACCAGCCGATGACCAGTTAATGACCGACGTCGTTTGCTAAGCGCCAGTCGAGACAGCCGTTTGTACTCATTTTATGAACCCGGAAGCGTATTTCTAGCGCGCAGGCGATAGACCCCCTAGCAACGACGCTCACGCCGGATTGGCTGCTCGGCAAAGCGCGGGAACTTAAATTTCGGATACGGACGGCGCGTGTATCACTCGGGAGCGCGTTAACCAGCACCCCCCCCCCCCCCCCCCCCCCCCGGCCTGCTTTCACGCCGCTTCGCGGCGACAGTATGCAGCTGCTAATTACAAAACTATCAACCCACTTAGCCTGCCCCGTATACGCCGCTTCGGGGCGTCCAGCCGGCAACTCAAGACCCAGTGTCCCCTATGCACCCCCGGAAATAGTCCCATACCATTTAGTTCAGTAAAGTTTCGTCGACAACATTCGTTTTTTTTCAGTGTTATTAGTAAAAAAAAAAAAAAACGTCGTAAATATCTCCAAATGCCTCGACAAAACAAAATGTTCCAGAAAAAAAAAAGAAGTAGACCCACACCGTGGATGGAACCCGCGTCCGCTGGCGTATGGTGGCAGACATCTTACCACTACGCTTGTTGTAGGTGCTGCTTATGTTGACGGCGGCAGCGTCTCTCACCACGAGCCAGCCAGTCCGGTGCGAGCGCCGTTGCTAGGGTGTGTATCGCCTGCGCGTTAGCGATATGCAACACTGGAATCTCAGTGCGCCGGAGGCAGCCCTCTCTCTAGGCGCCACGCGACTGCGCGACATCATGGTCAGCGCGAAGCGCATGCTCTCTCTGAAAGGGGCGCTGTCCAAAGGGAAAGATCTGGCGCCGCATGCACGCTGTCTCATGCAAATGAGCGGAGTGGAATTTATTCTTCCTTCTAAAGTATTTGTAGCGATTTGAGCAACCTCGTTGCCTTCTCTTCCTCTCTCATTCTCTTCGGTGTCACGTGGTATATGTTGCACAAGCAAGGGAGAACATCCATGAGGCTCCCATAAATCGCTCTGGCTTCGCGCCTGGCCTTCTGGCATGTTGTCGAAAGGCTTATCGTAGTGTGCCTCCTCGAGCACTCGTCATTCGGCCCCACGGGGGTCCCGCGCAGTGTGTGGCGGTCACTGGACGTCCCTGCGCGGCGAGCTGTCCTCGCCCCGCTACCCGGAGCCGTACCCGGCAAGGAGGTTGTGCAACTACACCATCGAGCTTCCCCCCGGCAACCTAGTGCAGCTCGACTGGCAGCACATGGACATCGAGAACGACGGACACTGCGCATACGATTACGTCGAGGTGAGTCGGAAGCGCACCGCTCAGAATGCGGTCGGAGCTACGTGTTCGTCGCATAAGTCACACGTTTATTTTCTGCCAGATGATCAGGTGATGAGAGGGAGGCGTTTGATTGCGAACGCGTAGCCTCCACTGCGCTGTGTATAAGCTTAGAGGTGAACGGAGTGTATGGGGAGCTTAACTTGTCCAGCCACACAGCGCCGTTTGCAACAAAAGCACCGAATATAATGAGTTTATCAGCCTCAAATTAATCTTCAATTCCTTAATTCACAGTCTTCAGTTTATAAAAAAATAGCCGTGATCAGTTGTTCGCGTTGTATCGCGTTCCGCGAGAAGGGTTCATCAACGGGAATGGCAACTCGCATCTTTCGTCTTTAGGAAAGTGCGTGGTGCTGGATGAAGCAACATTTTGAAGCTTACTCAACTGCATGGTGCTACTACGTGGTCATGCTGACTGTACCTAGCGGAATCATTGCCTGGACCGTTAAAAAAGAACCATGCTGGTCAAAAAACGCAAGTTTGAGAGTTTCTCAAACGTCCACTATAAGTTTCATGGTAGCTACGCGAAGATGAACTACCTGAGCACACATTGTTTCGCGATAAAAATTGTCCACTGCAATGGACCAATGCAATGGTACTGCTTTTATTAGCATGCTTATCCCTTGTTTTTCTCACATGCTTGGCAAACAATATGTAGCGTGTTCTTTTTTTAATTTTTTGCTGAACTTTATGCAGAAACTTTAAAAACCTGGAATAGACTTAGTTTTTTTTATGTTCTTACTGAACTTGCGAGTCCGCAACATGATTGATTTAAAAAACAATATTAGATATGCATCAGCGCGGGCCAGTTGCAAACTTTTACAACGATACAAATTAATCTTAATCTTTCTTAATTAAATCATAGTTCACTGGAAAATGCCAGTTTTTTATGAAAAAGACCCACCTTTTGCATTGACGCACAACAGTGGTAATAGGTATATGCTCCTTAAAGCTGTACCGACAATAATGGATCTATCTGCTTTAAAATTGTTGAATATATACTTGATAAGAATAAATATCAACGATCAAGTTGATGCTAAAAAAAAAAGGTTTCTGCTGCAACTTTTTTTTCTGTGTAAAAATGAAATCCTGTAGTAAAAATAAATTTGTTCCCCTCGTTCAGATTTCACTGAACTTCACAAATAGTTCAGTGTTCATTAAAAGCCAGCGTCTCCCATTCACGATTCTGGATGAACGGACGGAAACCCTTTACGGAGGTTGCCCGCGAGCTTCCTACATTCATCGTTTACACTCGTTTCTACATATGTACACATACACCTAGTGATCGTAGATAATGTGAACCAAGACCTGCTCAGGAAAGGGCACTTTCTGAAAGAGCTGTTCAAGGCAGTCATGAAATATGCTAGCGCAGAAAATTCGTACATCAGAAGGAAATACGGCCTAAAGCCCACCTCGCTTAAAAAGAATTGGGCAAAAATGGAATATACTATACCACGTATGCACTGCAGAACCTCGTGCATCTGCAACAAAGGCGCACATGTACGGCATTGAGAAAAACGCAGTCATACTCTGCCGCACAAGTTGTGGGCAGTGCTCTCAAAGTCACGAGAACGAAAGCGCAGCCTTGCAGTATGCGTTATTTGAGATACAACCCGCGTAAGTAAAGCGCTTTCTAGATCTAGGCGCAGGTAACCCGCGTAAGTAAAGCGCTTTCTAGATCTAGAAAGTGCTTTAGAAAGATTTTGCGAAAATTCTTGATGGGCAATACACGTGGCAAAGTAAAAATGTAACCGCTATATATTTTTATCAGCATGATATTAGAAACAGGACTAAAATCAATTTAAAGCTTTTCAACATATCCCCCCCTCTCCCCCTACGCGTTTCATACATGTGCGCCAACGCTTCACCAATGCGTGGATGCCGCGAAAGGAAACACCCTGCGCGTGACTGTCAAGCCAGGGATGCACCACCGTTTTTAGCCCTTCCCCTGTACGGAACTGCATTCCGCGGAGAGCTGGTTTGAGTGGTCCGAACAAGTTAAAATCACTGGGTGCCAGGTCCTTTGAGTATGGCAGATGCGGAATGCACTGAAGACGTAAGGATTTGCTATTTGTACGCTCTCGTACCTGCCGTATGTGGGTACGTATTGTCCTGATACAGCAACACACCAAAGGTCAGAAAAGTACTATTCTTTTACCTTAGCACAAACTTGAAATTGTTCTCAAACAGGTCAAAATACGACGTGCTGTTGACACTGAGTCCCTTTGGCATGTAGCGTTCGACTATTGGTCCTCTATGATCCCGGAAGACCGATCCTCGTGCTGTGCCGAAGCTACCCGAAAGGTCTTGGTGACGAAGTGTGCTTCCATTTTTTGCTTGCCCGCTTGGTCTCTGACTAGGCATATGAATTTAACATTCGTCTCCCGTGACAGTGCTTTAACAAAACAACTTCCTTTAGCTTCATAGCGTCGGAGTGGCGTCTCGCACGCGGACACATGGCGCTCCTTAATCAATGGCGTAACTTGTCTTGACACCCACCAGGCGGATACTTTGTGTTAGAGCAGAACATCATGAATAATGGGGTGCGCCGAGCCATGACTATGTTGAATTCTTCAGCCATTTTACTGATAAGGACACGGCGGTTTCCGTGTAAAAGCCGTTCAACCACTGATATTAAATGCAGTGTCGTCGAAATCTAAGCCCCGCCTGAGCGAGTGGCATCAGTAGATTTGAATGCACGCTTTAAAAACCGGTGTTCCACTTGTAGACATGTCGGAGTGACATACAGGCCTTCCGTATGCCTTTGACACGATAAATATTTGTTGACTTTTCATTTCTTGCAGAATGAAATACGTAGTAAATAAAAAAAGAAATAGACGCTGTTCCTTCTTGGTGCACAATTTTAAAGGGGCTGCGATTTTGAAAGTGCTATGTTTAGGTGACCTTTGTCAGCGTGTCACTGGGGAACTCCGCCTAGAAGACAAGGCCGTAGTGCTGACATTTTTGCGTCATCAGTGAAGGCCAACGCTGGACACAGACTGCAAACGAGTGCTGCATCAGCGCTCGGCTTTGAGTCAAGTTTGAGCTGAACGCAGTCGTCCTGTCCATGCGATCTGTGACCAGCGTTGGCTTTCGCTGATGACGACATATCTATCAGCACGACAGCTTTGTTATCGAGGAGGTGTTCCACTAGGCCGGCATGCACAGCTTACCTTAGTAGAGGGACAAACAACATTTGAACCACAGCAGTTTGTCGGAAGATTTTACTTTTAAGAAAGCATGTGTTTATGGGCTGGAGTTTATGGAAAAGCTTTACACGCAACCCAAGGCAACGCAAAAGGATGCATAGCCCGTAGCACACAGTTAATAAGCAGCCTAAGAATAGAAGTGACTAGTTGGTCAGAACCATAGATCAAGCAATCGAAATCACATATTCAGCAAGGTTCTCAGCGAGAATCTAACCCCGACAAGGAGATCCGCAGTCCGACATTTTGCTTGGTGCCACAAGTAGGAGACGAACGAGAGCGCAAGCAACTGGACAAAGTATGACTTGCGTCGATGGTCGCCCGCGGTAGCACGCGACTGTCCGCGACGAGTGATAGTTACTCACGTAACACGAGAACGTTCTGAGAACATGCCGGGAATGTTCAAAAGAACATAGGCAAAATTCTTGGAATGTTGCAAATTTACGTAAGAACTTTCTATCAACGTTGTCAGAATGTGGCGCAGTCACTTATCGCTACATTCAGGGAATGTTTTCTAAAAAACATTCTTGTAACGTTCTGAGAATGACATAGAACGTTACCAGGGTATTCAATCAATATTCAAACATCTTAAGAAGGTTCTAAGAACGTTCTCAGAACATTTAAAGAAGTTCTGCAACTTTCTTGAAATGTTGCAAATTTATGCAGGGACATCCTTTCAACCTCCTCAGAACGTGGCGTGGGTAAATCGCAACATTTAGGAAACATTCTCTGACGACTATTTACAAAGATTCCACAACTACGGCTTGTGTAGGCTACAGCCCCAATGAGGCGCACTGTGATGAAACTCCTCACGAGGGCGATATTTTTTAATCGAAGAAGATTTTTAAAAGGCGCAAGCATAAGCTAGCTGCTTTCCCCGCGTACCAGCCTGCGCACACACTAATGACAGTTTCTCCTACCTGTTGCGTGTCACCTTCATTCATTCAAGATGTGCTGTATACGTAAACGATCCCTTCGAGCTTAAGAACAGATAAAAAAATGGCATCCCAAATTCAGGTGGGATGCCTTTTTCAAAATTCTTATACTCTCATACTAAAATCGGGTCTATTCAAAACTGCCCCTCTACATACGCAGTGAGTGTCAAGTGCATTATCAAGTTTTGTAAACGGTTGTTTTTCTGCTGCACCTCATATCACATTCCTCGGTAGACGAATATTAGATAAAATTGATCCCTTATGCTCAGTTTCCAGAAACTCCACTTAATTTGCATATTTGTGGCACAAAGTGGCATATAGTGGATGGCGCTTCGAACCACAGATTGCGTGAGAGCTCCGTAAAGTTGGCTTCGCCAGCAAATTCCTTAGAATGTTCGCAAGCGAGCGTTCCAAGAATGTTGCGCATATGAATGTTCGAAGAGGAACGTTCCGAGAACATTGTGCATACGAATGTTCGCCAACGAACTTTTCTAGAATGTTGACCAGCTTACCTTGTTGGGAATGTTCGCATACGAACGTTCCTGAAACGTTCCGAATGGTGTTTTAACGTTCCTTCAACATTCAGAACACCCAGAGAATGTTCGCACAACATTGGGTGCTACCTGGGTAGTCCAGCATACTTACTCTACCGGCGACCATGGGCGGCAAGTCATAGTTAGTCCAGTCTAATTAGTCTGGAGACAATTATTAGTGGTGATTCATTCTTAGCGACTTCCTGACTTTCTGTTCGAAAATATGCCTTATTTACACGATCTCCCTCAGCTGTAATTGACTCAACTGTAGTTACCTCAGTCGACATTTATTTTAATAATCTATTGATTTATTTTCAGATACTGTCTTATGGACCATTAAAGGGAGATACACTAGATGTGGCATACATCATTAATGTATATCCGTTCACATAAATGTAAACACTTATTTGAAGCGAAGTTTAATCCGTCGCAGTTTGAACACTGAAAAAGGACATACAATGGCAAAAGAAACACGTTTTGAAGGCATTTCCTGGTGTGTCGCATTTTAAAAATGTAAAGAACAAATTCATAAAAAACACAAAACATTACAAGAAAAGCAATACATTGCTGAAGATATACATCAGTCATGGCAGGGAACGTGGAAGCTTCATCTGTTTTATTCTGAATGAAAAAGTCGAAGGACATATTCAAATGTAGACACGTTAATAAAGCTAACCATGTGTTCAGGACGTTTGGTTTAGTCATTTATTGTTTTAAGGAAAAGTATTTAAACCCATAAATTCTAGGAAACTCTTGAAGTAATGCTTTAGAGATATTTAAACGAGCCGACTGGTTGTTAACAGGTTTAAGATAAAGATCGGGATCTATTTTAGCTGAGCAGGAAAAATTTGAAACAGAAACTTTAGGCCCGCTATTTTTCTTCCAATCCCCAATTGCTCAAGCACGTATTCGTTTAACATTTTCGTAACCGAGGAAACCAATCGGTAATCAGATTGTATTCTTCAGAGAGTGCAGACTGTTTTTGCACTCTTTCAAGTTTCTTTTATTGTCGGTCTCGGTAACGGGGTTTAAAATAACAGCTTCCTACTCAAGTGTCGGTCGTATCAAAATTTTGTATGACGTGAGTCTTACTTCTGTATTTTCATCCTTAAGTGTCTGTCTGAACACGCGTAGTCTGCTGTACGCTGCTGCACAGATATATATAATTTTAAGATTGTCGTTTCAAATTTTCACTTAGTGTTACTTCTACAAAGTTAAAGCTTTCTAGTTCAGCCAGTCCTATATGTCCAATTTGATACCGAAAAGAGGAAATGTTATTTTTGTTTGTGATGTGGGTGTGATGACTTCCTGAAGTTTATTTCCATTTTCCAATGAAGGCACCACTAGCTAATCTAATCCAGACATTGATTTAACGCTAGTTGGTCGGCGGACGTCGCGTCCTTAATATAAAGGAGAAACAGTAGCGGTCCTAACACATACTCCGGTGGCCCCCCTGATGTTAAACTTACGAAGTCTGATGAGGCTCCTCGAATTCTAATGAAGTGTTTCACAACGAATTACGCGGTGTGAGCATCATTAAGCCCGTAGTGGGAATTTAATTTTAACTGAGCAATACTGACCGCTCCACCTGCTGCCTTCTCATCTCGAACCGTGAATTCCACTAATACGAAGCGAATGGCGAAAATCGGCCGACCTGTAAGCAGGCGCTTGGACTGCGGGTGGGCCCTCCGCGCAGGTCTGGGAACCGTGGCGCAACGGCAGTGAGCGTCGAAGGGGACGCTACTGCGGCTCCGTACCTCCGGACCCGGTGACGTCGGCGTACAACCGGCTGAGTCTGCGGTTCCACTCGGACCATTCCGTTCAGCACCGCGGTTTCCTGGCCAACTACTCGGCGCTGGACATCGGTGAGAAAGAGAGCAACGACAACGTTCAGTTTCAAACTCAGTGGCCATACGGTCGTGTCTCTTTAACACTGGTTATATGAATTCCCCGCTTTACACAGGGTGTTTCAAATAGCGGCCAGGCTCGTTAAATCGACCGCAAAAATCTATTTCTTAATTTATCGCGCCACGATTTTGTGCAGCGTTGCCCACAGGTGGTGATATTTTTTCATAAATTTTGCAAACAGCGAACTTACCTGAGAAACAAGTTAAAAAAAATGAAAAAGGCTTAACTCTTATAAAAATGCAGTGAAGCCAGCGGGTTTCAAACAAGAGGGCGCTGTTTGAAGACCGGGGGCTTCGCTGCGCTTGCAAGGGAGTGAAGGTTTCTTTCCTTTTTTTGGTTTTTCCTCAGGTGAGTTGGCTCTTTGCAAATTTTATGGAACAAACGCACCACCTGTGGGCAGCGCTCCACGAAACCGTAGCGCGAAAGGTGAAGAAACTAATTTTTGCGGTCGATGTAAAATGCCTTGGCCGCTATTTTAAACACCCTGTATATACACCATTTACGAGGACGAACCGTGTGAATGCGTGCATTTTTGTTTCAATATTATGAAGGGCCCACATTGTGGACGATGTTTGTGGGGAAGGGATGCGAATATTAGTGGACGTTGTTTACTCCTCGTGTCCGGCAGGTTGTGGCGGAGTGCTCAGCGAGCCCGGTCGGCTCCAGAGTCCCGCCAGCGAGAGCGCCCAGTCAGGCTACCGCCACGAGTCCCACTGCCGCTGGCTCCTGAAAGCGCCTCCGGGTCATACGGTGCGCCTGAGCTTCTCCCAGTTCGCCCTCGAGGAGTCCACAAACTGCAGCTACGACTACGTTGAAATTCACGACTCCTCGGACGAGCGCGTCGGAAGGTAAGCGGCCTCCGCTTCTATGGTCCGTTCCAATGACCATCCCACCGTCTGAGTCTACGGCGTTGCGAGACGCGTTCTGCGCGTTCGCAGTAGGACTCATCCTGCAAACTGCCAGACACCGGCAGAGGTGCCCGATACCGCTTGGGCTTCCTGACGCCGTAAATAAAGGCAGTCGCATTGTCGAATCGTTGCTATCGCCCATTGCGCCCTCTCTGCACACGCACCAAAATGGTGGCGCCCGCGATATAACCGGGAAATGGAGCGCCGATATTTCGAGCTTCTTTAGCGGCTCTATACCTTCGAGCGGGAACACGAGAGCCCGTGCGTTCGGCTACTAACAGATCGCTCTCACGACCCGGTGCGCAACTGCTGCGACGCGAATGCGCTTCAGCTCCGCGCCGGACCGTTAAAGTGATATATTGCTACCAAATGCCACACACGCTCTCGTGTTACCGCTAACGGTGATAAAGATAATACACGCTTCCCGCTAAAATGTTGTTGGGCGACGCAGGTACTGCGGCGGTCGGGCGCCCCCCACCATCACATCTACGGGCGAACTGCTGCACGTGCTGTTCCGCACCGACGACAGCGTCGCACGGGACGGCTTCCTCGCCCACTTCGAGTTCTTAGACGGCCGTACCGGTACGTGCCGACTGCGCATGCATCCAGCATCCTCGAGGTGGCGAGGCCGCACGTTTCGACATCACTGACCGGGGGCCAGCGCGGCTTACAGCTTAGACGCGAGTGTGCTGCGCCACCGCTCGTGTGTAGACTCGTGATTTCTCAGTGAGAACAAGAGTCTCAGCCGAACGCTGAGGCCGCACTCGTGTCCAAGCTGTGCCTAGCGCCACTGCCATTCAGAATGATCGAAGCCTCTGAGCGACTTCCTTTACCTCCGCGCAACGTAATCACAAAATGATTTTTGCCGCCACTGGGCCAGGGCCCTACGCCGGGCGTCGTCTCACGGATTGACTGGACACCAAGACCAGCCGAAAGCAGCACTCGTGGTCACTTTCGATCTTACCGTGATGACGTCAAAATGCTAAAGCGCGGGCCTTGATTTATTTTGGGGATGCTTTTCCGCGCTGGCTTCCTGAGTCGCTTCCTGCGCCTCCATTCAAGAAGTGTTCGCGCTGTTGGCTTCCCGCTCTTGCTCCGCTCACGCTCTGCTCCGCTCCCTCTCCCAGCATGCGGCGGGGAGTTCTTCCTCTCGCAGGGCGTGGTCCGGTCGCCGCTCTTCCCCCGCCACTACCCGGCGGATCGGGACTGCGTCTGGCTGCTCCACGTCCCCGACGGCAGGCAGATCAGGCTCAACTTCACGCACTTCGACCTGGAGAACAGTACCATCTGCGCCTTCGACTTCCTCGAGCTTCGGTGAGGTCAAAGTGCCGCTCATTCTAAAGGTTCCAACAGTCATCGGCAAGCGTTTGACCTACTTGCAAACTTTACGTTGGCTTGGAGCAAAGACAAACCAAGTGACTTTTTCTTTTCGTCTGGGGTCTGCCATGATTCTCCCACGTACCTTGCTCTTGCAGGCGCTCCCATCCACCCATTTTACTGTGACCAGTATCTTATTATTCATAACGCGAGTCATCTGCTGCAAATTTAAGTGCGCGTCGATTTTTAAAAAACTAAATTGTACACATTAACTAATGTTACACCCCTAAGGGTATATTAACACTGTCTCAGTGACTTACACCCGTGTATATACACCCTCTCAACGTACTTTTTTCGAGTAATGCATTCATGAACCGTCTCAAAACACCCAAACCGGTTTCTTCGCATCTGGGATAATTCACATGTGGTTCCGCTCGCGCTACGACCGAATGGCACGTGGTTATCAGCCCTGCATTACCTTACAAGACATTCGAGTGCTTTTCTTTTAAAAAGCATTCGAGAAAACCAACAAAAAAGATGTTGAAAAAAGTCATCAGGGTATAAAATATGTCAACAGCTTTTTGTCGTGCGTCTTATAGCTTTCTGTTGCGCCCTTTCTTTGGAATATTAGCCCAATATTCAAATTCAAATATCGGCCAGTATTTGTTGATTATTGGAAAGTCAACAAATTTTCGTTGACTCCAAGATGTTTTTTTAAAGCTTTGCAATTGAAAACCTACAGCGTTTCGCTTAAAAAGGTACAGCCGTCCAACAAGTAAACAATATGATGTACACCTTAGCTATTTATTCAACAAAATTTTGGAAGACTCACCACGGGTCTTCACTCTGCTCCTGACTAACTGCCGCAAAATAACGGTAAACAAATTGCGAGCTTTTTTTAATTTTGTGGCTTTTTGTGTGAAATTGTGTACCTATAAAGTAACTGAAAGCACTACATGCCTCTCAAAAATACACAGAACAAACAAACAGAGCGAACGCAAACATCATGAAGCACTCAAAACACCCTAATCACGGTCCTGCTGGCTGCGCAGCCTGACTTACCCCACATTTTAAAGGTATAATCAGTTGGTCGGTGACCACTACAGGATTTTTAAAGGTTCCGAATACCCCATGTTGTTCTCTGAACTTTGTCAAAGTGAAAACAGCGCTTCGACGTTCGTGGACTCTATTTCTTACTAGAAAGTATTGGTACAAGCAATAATTTCTCGGAACAGTCGCTAAAACAACATCAACAAAAAGCGGCGCCTAGAGGGTATGTTATTTCTTCTCTGCATAGCACCATTCAGGATGAGACAGTCAAGAGAGTTGCACTTTTTTATTATTGATTTTTTTTTACTAATTGACTAGATTAATGGGGTTAACAAAGTCACTATAGTAACTTACAGATTGAGAACGACAGGGCATGTTTTTCGAACGCCGGACCTCCAGCACGCGCTCCATACCTTGTGCCGCGATTTGACTGCGCGCGCGCGCTCGAGGTGTGCGTGACTCTGAAGTATTGTCAAGTATAGGATGCTCGCACTAAAGGGCGGACAGCTGAAGTTTCTTCTGCCCTTATCACCTTGTCGGTGACTACAGAGGAACTTCGTAGAAACTCTAGCATATAGTCAAATATATACTATGACAAAAAAATTCAACAAAAATTTTGCGCCTTTTGTGTTCACACTGCCCACAGAAAGTCAACTGAATAGTTTGAACACAAAGTAAACAAAACGTCTGCAGTCTTTCTAATGACACTGGCAACAAGAGGTCAGCAGAAAAAATCAACTCCAAGTTAACAGAAAATCAACAGCTTTTATTTTTACCCAGTTTACAGAAAATTAACAAACACATTTCAACAAACTTTCTGTTGACTATCTCACCAAAAAGTAAAAGTTAAAAAGAAGTAATCAGAGTCAACAAGAAGTCAACACGTTTTCAAACGAAAGTCAAAAAATAATTTTTTTTTTTTTTTGAGTTTGCTCCGACAGCATGTGTCTTGCGCTACAGCTCACTTTAAGAAAATAATTAAATAATATAGTTCGGAATGGAGAGCAACCAGTCCTAGTGCTACCTCCCACGGCCGTTATTTCACGCAAAGTAGCACTTTGGTATTTCATTTGCTAGTGCCTGCGACCACATCCAGAAAACCCAACGAGCGGGTCCTTACCTTCGCTGCATGTTTGAAGAGGAGAACAGACGTATCTCATAGATTTTTATCCAAACCGCAGGACCAAAGCACGTGTGTGTGTGTATATGTGTGAGAAAGAGAGAGAGAGAAGCAACTTTATTGAACCGAGCTTATTACGACGTCTTCTTAGACGCCATCGATCGAAGTGGTTCCCTCGTCACAGGACCCATATGTTTCCTTAGCCGCCTGGCCCCTGGAGATCAGGACGAGCTGGTCTTCCAGTACGGGGATGGTTAGCAACGTCTCCCATCACTCGGTAAGGGAGGATGAGGGATGGGGTGGGGGTAGTGGGGAAGGTAAGTGATGGGGGGATTGGCTTAACGAAGTCGCATACTCGAATGACGTGTTGGCGCGTGCCTAACTGATTCTTGCAGAAATTACATTCCTTCGTGTGCCTTTCCGGGTGCATCTTGTTTTGAAGGTAAGGGTGCGGAAAAGATCCTGCCTGTATCTGCCTGCAAAACCCTTGCTTTTCTCTGGTAAGCGCTTTGTAAGGATCGGGGTAACGCCGCCTCTCTGCCCTGTAGTAGTTCGTAATGCCCTTATAACTAATTATGGATTGTGGCTCACCTTCCTCTACCCGGTGTTAGCTCGTGCGTGTTGTAGGGGAGTCGGGGGCGGTAGACATACTTGAAAAAAGAGCTTTTAGGAATTTGCGTTGACCGACGCCCTCAAAGCACTCCATTTTATTTTTATTCTTTCTTGTGGATGAACCGCAAAGCATGTAACGAGAACAAACCAGATGCGGCGTGCCCAACCGAGATTGACATTTTGAGAATGATCCTTCTGAGAAAGTCCGAGTGACAAAGCCGAAACAAGAACAGGGTCAAATGGGGATCACTTGCAAACAGAGATTTTGCGGGGTTGTTTTAGCGACAATGAAGAAATTGTTATTGCCTGTATTGGAGATATATCCTTTGAGCTTAGATATACTCTGCCTTATGTACAATATTGGCGAGTTCACATCAACGTATATTTAAGTTTCGTGATTGCACAGGCGGGTATCTCCAAATGAGTGCCTTTCAATGGTCGAGTATATAAGTCGAAACAGAGTCATGATTCTTCTCTCATGCGGGATTGGTTAGGTGTGTATTTGCAACTTCGGTGTAAATACCAATGCACTTGGTGCGTGTCGCTTGTAAACTTGTTGCTCGCAAGAAATATTCATTTTTCATTTAATTAGTTAGGGCTTACATTAGGGGCAGTTATATGTAATTAAATAAATTGCTCCTCTTTTAAGGCATATGTTTAATTTGGCACTTCAAAATCGCCATTTTTCTAAAAAAACGCGAGTTGCAAAGGTTACGGTTATTTTGAAGTCTGGGGATAAAAACCACCTGAGAAATTATAGTCATGTTTTTGGTCTCCCAGTGTTTTCAAAGGGCTAGAGAAAATAATACATGCCAGATTATACACCTGCGAAAAACACTCTATCCTAACATCTTGCCAGTTTCATTTTTGGAAGGGGCATTCAACGGAACTCGCGCTATTAAAACAAAAGGAACTAATTTTAAACAACATCGAAAGAAAATTTATTACCTTGGGGGTCTTCATCAATGGACCTTTTTCGAGAAGCGTTCTGCACACGCGCGAGCGCGCGATGCCAAGCGGTGGAAGTCGGCACGAAAAATCGAGGAAATTCGGAATGAGGCTGTAGATCGACGAGTAGAACACGTAATTGCAGCATATATATAATTGTGTTACACAAAAAAAGAAAGTGGACGGAAAGAAAAACACGACGTTTGGGTGGACGCTACGGATTTCCCTTTTTAAAATCGCGTTCGGCACGCGACGCAGCTCAGAGAGCGAAGCAACTGGTAGCGTAGCTCCCATTATCGATTGGTAGCGCAGGTAGGTCATTTCCTTTATTTTTAGTTCGTATAGCCACCGCCTGGTGCCGTCGGTATTTGGAAAAGGTCCATTTTTCAAAGGCTTTCGACCGTGTAAATCATAAAACTCTCCTTCAAAAATCGAATGCATACGGGGTGTGAGGAGTAGCCTCAACGATGATCGAGAGTTTCTTAAAATATCGGCATCAGTGTGTCGTGATCGATAGTCAGCGCTCTAGCTTAAAGAAACTGACGTCAGGGGTGCCACAGGGGAGCATCCTTGGACCCCTTCTGTTTAACTTATACATCAATGATATAGTAAATTAGACGACAGTGCAGATATTATAATTTACGCAGACGACACCAGTTGTTTTTTTTTTCGGGGAAAGTCCTCCACAGTGTTGTACGGAACGGCGTTCCAAGGAACGGCGTTCTAGGAACGCGTTCCTTTTAGGAGAACGAAGGAACGCCGCCGTTCCATTTTGCATCGCTGGAACTGGAACGGGAACGCGTTACATTTTCACTGGAACGGAAAAAGTAACGGCGTTCCTTTTTTTCATCTAGTGGGGTAATTTTTATTTCATTTCTAACAGGCAAATTTTGGAAGTACAAAAACAATATCTTTACGAAGTGCAGGAGCTCGTTAACTTTTTGGTTACTAATTTTATGGTTTATTTTGTGTGTTTGTCGCTTGCTAACAGTTTCGGGTGCAGGAGAGCTGGTGGACATTGATTCCTTTTTGAGTGCCCGAAACTGCGGTACAAAGAGGAAAACTTTTAGTCGTAGGAAACGATAAAGAAAAAGGGTTGTTTCAAACTCAGCTACTTTCTTTGGTTCCACGAATCCTCATACACCCAGAAATCTTATTCCGACTACAGCCATTTTTGAACTTCCATAAGAAGACCTACAGTTACAACAAGATCGCAGATTCCCAGATATCGAACGCACCCTTGTATCCCGAACATTGGTCGCTTAAA